GATGGTAACTATTGGAGTGATGAAAGATGGTGGCTGAAGGAATGGAATGTGGATGAATATGATGTCCAATTATAATGTAATGGTAGTGGAGGGGATTTGTGAGCTTCTAATAACTGTCAAAGTGGTCAACAATTCATATACAAGTTGTAGAAAAAGAAAAAGCTTGCTATCTATTTTGGTGCATGGATCACTACTTGTGTTGGAAGATATTGTCAGGATTAGGAACAAACATTTGCCCATGGTAATGTTTGGTCTCCTATGTGTATCAGGTTTAATTGACTCTTGAAAACCAACTACTAAATATCCTAGATTTGGTTGGAATTGTTGCATTATGAGAGTTTGATTTTGACTTTGGTATATCAGATTTTGTTGATTCTTGATTCATTTGTCATGTCTACTAATGTTGAAGATAGTGATATAATGGGATCCCTTAGATTGTGTGTACATGGTATGAAAAATGAGTGAGAAACTTTATTAAGTATGAAACTATGGTGGAGAAAGTAAAAGAATGAATGGATGATGACTGTGAGTGATGGAGAATGATAGTGGTGATGTATAGAGTGCACTAATGTAGTGCAAATCTGGAAGCCTTGAAAAACAATTTAAGAAATACTCAAGCTTCTAGACAAGAGGAGTTGATGCAACCTTGAGGTGAAAATCCAGCCTCATGCTTGCTCCACCTATGAGATCACATCCTAAAAGAGAGAAGAAAAGAGGTAAAAGCAAAAAAAAAGAAATAAAAAGAAAAGAAAAAGGAGCCTGGATTTAAGTTCACTGGTTAAAAGAGTTTTGAGGTGATAGTGCCTTGTGTAACTTTGATCATTTTGTGAGGATGTAAACACTACCTCCAATGTGCTTTTTGATAAAGAAAGGCCCCAAGCTTTTTAGGAGAGAACTTTGTGGAAAGTGCAAAGTCCTAGAGCATCATGAGCGGGCCAATGGGAAAGGGCTCATTTCGTTGAAATTGATCCTATTATCCCTTGTGCCTGCACTTGGTGGCAAGAAGGTGCTCAGCTACTACATAATGTTGCTCATCAAGTTTGAGAAGATCCCATGCTCAAGCTTGGGGCTACTCCTCATCAGTAAATCAAAATTTCACTGCATGTCACAAAATAAGCTAAATTGAAGGGATTTGGAGATTGACTAGAAGAAAAGCCTCAACTCCATATACTAGAGAGACTAGAGTGGTTGCTACAATGCTTTTAATTGTCATCCTAAAAGCCCAAAGTGTTGTCAGCAAGTGCTTATATCATTAGTGTGGATGATCTTCAATGAGCTTTAAGAGAATGGTCTTAACATTTTGTTGCTAGACTTAGCTTGGCTGTTTGATTGAGGGTAATAACTATTGCTCTTCACATGTTACATTTATAAGATCTGGAGGAGCCATTGCATGACTTGCCTAAGGAAAACACCACCGTGATCTAAAACAAGGATCACAAAGACTCTAAAACAACATATGATATATTTATAGCATATTGTGGAAACTTGATTAGCATGCTACAAGGACATTGCCTCAACCCACTTGTGAAGGAAATCAGCCCCACAAAACCCAAACCCCACTTGAAAAATGGTCTTGCTAAGGTGATAAGCTAAAACAAAAATTGTGGGATGTGGTTAGGAGGATTGAACTTTTGACACTTCTGACACTAGACACAAGCCTCTGCATATGCTACTACATTGTGGTAAAGTGTTGTATTTGTGATGGAGTAGAAGTTGGACAATAGTCTTTCCTGAGAAATGGCCGGCATATGTGTGGAAAGCACAGAGCTGTTTTAGAGCTCATGCCATCCTTCCAAAACACAACATAGACACCTATAAAGTGCTCCACCAAGGAGGCAAAAGTCTCAAGCCTTGTTGTGTAAGGCTTGTTGCTACTCCATAGATGAATATGGAGGATATGCCTTGTTATTGAGGTACTCAGCTACATCCTAAAGGGTTGCAAGGATAGTGAAAAACTCCATGTTGGCTGCAATGTGAGTTGGCTAGGGTCATATACATGTTAGTGTTGCATCACAAAAGCTGGCTAAAACTCTTGGATCATGAAAATCCACAATAAAGTATATGAAGTCTAAAGTGCTCTCTATAAAAGGAACATTAACACATCTATAAATGTGTAATGGATACAAGCTCCGAAAAGCAAGTGTAAAAAATGCTAGAGAGTATACACCACCGCAACAGCCTCTTTTTTTGCAAGTATGTTTTGTTGCTCAATTGTGGAGGAGTGAAATGCAAAGTATGTTGAGTGTAAAGGTTGGAGTAGTCTTGGACACGGGCATATGCAGATGCCAAAGGCTTCCTCTCCAATGGAAATGAAGATGTGGAACAACTCTTTTAAATGTGGTAGTTGCATGATTAGTGGAGATTGGAGAATGGTTTGAAGTTTCTTAAACAATTGCCATTCATAGTCTCTCCATACAAAGTTCATGCCATCCTTGAGTAAGGCCACTAGAGGGTGAGTCAAACCAATGTAGTCCTTGATGAATCAATAATCTAACTGAGAAAAATACATAGTTTTATAGGCTGAGCTTGCTAGAGAATTTCCCAACACTTGGCTGTATGAGGCTGGATCCCTTAGTTGAGATGTCAAAGCCAAGTGAATGCCCTTGAGTGACTCCAAAGTGGCATTTCATTGAATTTAAGGAGAATTGATGGAGTCTACATCACTAGAAAACTTGCTACAAGTGGAGGAGATGCTTTGAGAATGATGTAAAAGCCATGCACAAATGTTCCAAACTTCATAATTGCAACAGTGTTATGTTGTTAAGTTTGTGAGTGACTCCCTTTTCAAAATAAGACCCCTTAGCACCTCGTTTTGTGGTGTTTCTCCCATTGTCTTTGTACTGGTTTTACTCAAGGTGAAGACAAAGGCATGAGATAAAAAGGTGAGACAAGTTCTCTAGAAGTACCTTCATATGAAGATTCTACTCTTTGTTGGTTTTGTGCATAACGAAACCTCTTATTAAAGTTCTTTACTAGTTTCGTGCTTTAACAAAACTCAACCCAAGGTTTGTTTTTCTAGACAATAAAGGCTTTATTTAACAAATAATCCATGTAGACCCAGACAGCATTATTGAGCAATTCCATGGCAAAGAAACAACTTCAGAAAAAGTTTATGGTGTTCATATGTTGTAAGAAATGCACTAACTTAAATAAGTTAAAGGGTAACTTCTTTATCATGCGCTCTAACATAGACACCTTTTAGCCATCACCAACAACAAAATTACCAATAGAGTTAGCCATCTTTGCTATTTTGCATGTCATCCAACTTATAAAAGATGATATGCCTATGCTTATAAATGATATAAAGAGAGAAGTGATAGGCCCTAACCTTTATGAGTAAACAAACCAAACATATTGATAAGGCTTAAATTGACTATTATAAATAAGTAGTTAAAGTTGTTTACATAGTCATACACTTTTTATGGAATAAGGAACATTAAGAGAGAGGTGAGTGATGTGATCAGTTGATAATATTTACCCCATAACTAAAGATTTCACCATATACACAAAATGCCAAAACTAATCTACCTATATTAACCCAAACCCAAAGATTAAGAGATGGATAATATCAAAGTTAGAGGTAATAATATGTTAGAGACCAAATTATCATTGAATAAGTCTTATATTAGAACACAAAAGCATTTCAATTAAGTTATCATCTAATAAAGAAGTATAAAAACCACTAAAATCATTAAAGGTTAAAAGTCATAGGATTAACTATTTAACAAAATTCAATAGCAAGTATATCATCAAGAAAACCCAATGATAAAACTTAATTACTAAAGATTGTAGATAGCATGCTAAACAATTAACGAAAGATAACCTAAAGAATATAAAGTATCATTGACTCAAGCAAAATGCTTACAAATATATCAAAAGAAATAACATTCAAATGTATTAAAACCAACTATAGCAACAATTAACAAAATAAAATGAATACTGCAAGACTACCAAATACTTATTCATTCCAACTATCACACTAGGGAATTTGAATAGATCTCAATTAATAATACCAAAAAACTCAAGTTACTTAAGTAAGCATCAACAATATCTTACTAATATCTCAAACTTAATAGATTAATCTAGAGTAAACCACAAAAAATATATGGTAATATGAACAGCTAAAAACCATAAAAAATAATAATTAATTGTCATAAAAGATCATCAATTATCCCATAAATAAAAAAATGCATAATCATTATCAAAGAAAAAATCTATTATCCTAAAGAACGGCAAATCATTCTATATCAACAATAATTAAACAAAATCTTTGATAAGAACAATCAATTATCCTAAATGATAGTCAATCATTACTGATGATTGCTAGATGTAAATACCATTTTTACTTTGGAATTAATGAGCCAAAATGCCTTTTTCAACAACTCCTAACAAATAAAATAATAAGTATGAGAATTTAAAAAATAAAAAGCTTGAAGAAACTTATAGTCAAGTTTTAGCTAACAATAATCATAAGTCTTACATGAACTAACTTCAATGCAAAAAAAGAAATCATGGTAAAACTCATAATATTCTTTTAAATATATTCTAATTAAATTATCATTTAATAAACCAGTAAAGTATAGGAACTACCAAGAATCAAGAGACTTAGGATTAACCATCTTGAGAGAATTCAATAGCAAGTATATCACTAAGTAAATGATAAAGCTTAATTACTAGATATCTTAGATAATATACTAAATAACTTGTAAAAAATAACTTAAAGTATAGAAAATATTATTATCTAATAAATAAATATTCACTAATGTATCACATGAAAGAAACAATATCCCAAAACCAAAATTAACAACAATCAATATGCTATATTTTTATAATTAGTGCATATATATATATATATATATATATATATATCTGTGTGTGTGTAATCATTTCCTTTAAAACATAGTTTAAATTTTAGTCTAAAATAATAAATGTGCAACTCCAGTACAATAAGCCAAAGAATGTTTGAAAGTACTTAGTAATTCCTGTATGGATGGCATTTCATGAGGCTTGTGGAGGCTGATTATGCTTTGAAGTTGAAAGCTTGTAACCATCTGTCAGATGGACGGCAATTGCACTGGGAGCTCGCAAGGAAGGGCCTGGACAGCCAAAAGTTTCTGGGCAACCACATCATCCAAATGTTTGGGCGGCTGGGAAGCCTGGACGAAGCGAGAGCAGCGTTTGAGAGGTTGCGCTGGAGAAACGTTTTCTCGTGGACAATCATGGTGGCACTTCTTGCCCAAAACGGGTATCTTAACGAGGCCGGGAAATGGTTCTGGAAAATGCCAGAGCACAGCGCGGTTTCCTCCAATGCGGTCATGGTTGCATTAGCGGATTCTGAAAACATTGCCGAGTCAAGAGAAATGTTTGATAAAATGGCCCAGCGCGATGTTGCGTCTTGGAACTCTATGGTCTCTGCATATGCCCAGTCCGGGGATTGTCTTGAAGCAAGCAGATTCTTTACAAGAATGCCTGTCGTCAACGTGGTGTCGTGGACGGCTTTTCTTTCCGGGCTCTCCCAAACTGGCCAGCTCCAGGAAGCAAAGTTTCTATTCGACAAAATGCCCGAGAGAAACATCGTGTCGTGGAATGCTCTAATCACGGCAAATGCCCAGGCTGGGGATGTTCGAGCAGCGCGGGCACTCTTCGATCGCATTCCAGCCCGAGACTCGGTGTCGTGGAACTCGATCTTTCCCGCCTACACGCGCACTGGAATGCTCGAGGAGGCCAGGAGGCTGTTCCAGAGCGTCCCTTGTCCGAACTCCATCACTTGGACGAGCATGCTGTTCGGGTATGCCGAAGCCGGAAACATCGATCAAGCCAGGAAGATCTTCCTCGCGATGGACCGAGACGCGGGATCCTGGAACGCGCTGATCGCTGCATACGGCCAGGGAAACGATCTGGGGAGCGCGAGGCTAGTGTTTGAAAAAATGGCACAGTGGAACATCCGGTCATGGACGAGCATGTTTCTGGCGTGTTCGCAGATGGCGCACTTCGAGGAGACGAGGAGGATCTTCGACGGCATGCCGGAGCGCGACCTGGTGTCGTGGAACGCGATGCTCACGTGCTACACGCGGAGCGAGCGGCCGATCGAGGCGCTGGAGCTGTTCAAGCTCATGATCATCGAGGGAGTTCGTCCCAACGGGATAACTTTCCTGTGCCTGATCGATGCGTGCTCGCAGGCCTCGGCGCTCACTCCCGGAATGCTCATCGACGAGGAGATTGGAGGAAGCCGGGGGAGTGTCGAGCTTGGAAACTCCTTCATCTCAATGTATGCCAAGTGTGGCAGCTTCGAGAACGCAAAGAGGCACTTTGATGCCATGGAGGAGCGCGACTCGGTGTCGTGGACCGCGATGATCACCGCCGACGTCCAAAGCGGTAACCGGGAGCGCGCCCTCCAGCTCTTCGTGGAGATGATCCACCAAGGAGTCGATCCACACGACGTGACGTTCCTGGGGGTTCTCTCGGTGTGTGCTTACGAGGGGCTACTCGAGCGGGGATGGGAGCTCTGGACGTCCATGGCTGTGGACTTTGGGATCGCAGCAAAGGCGGAGCACTACGCGTGGCTTGTCAATCTCCTGGCTCGATCTGGGCGATTGGTGGCGGCCGAGGAGCTTATCGATAGCATGCCATACCACCCGGATCATCCCACCTGGGGAGCGCTGCTTGGAGCTTGCTCGCTTGGTGGGATGAAAACCGAGGGAGCTTGGAGAGCTGCGAGCTTGATCTCCGAGATGACCCCCGGTAGCTCCTCACCTTACATCTCGCTCGCGAAGATCTGTGCCTCTAGCGATGATCTATGACACGAGCATCGCATTGGAGAGCAAGACATAGGGGCCGTGATCGTCACCCAGCGCTCGCCCAGGAATCCCCCGCGCTCGCTCCACATCGCGATGCATCTCACACCCATTGAGGAGCGCCGTCCAGGCGGTGGAGCTGGGCGCGAAGGGCATGGCGTGGAGGAGCTCCTCCGCGTGAGCGAGCCGCCCAGCGCGGCACAGGAGATCGATCATGCAGACGTAGTGATCGATCGTCAGGCGCTGCCCATAGTCGTGCGTGATCGACACGAAGTAGCAGTGGCCATCGCGGAGGAGCCCCGCATGGCTACACGCAGAGAAGAGCGCGAGGAAGGAGACCTCGTCGGGATCTTGGCCGTGGAGATTGAGAAGCTTGAAGAGATCCATGGCGGCGAGCGTTTGCCCTCTCTGAGCATACGCTGCGAGCATGGAGTTCCAGGACCAGGCATTGCGATCCGGCATGGAATCGAAGAACGATCGCGCTTCCGAGAGACTGCCGCACTTGCCATACATGTTGACGATCGCGGTGCCGAGCGAGACATCGATCTGGGGCGGCTGCCCGGCGCCCAGATCCAGGAGCTCCGCGTGGAGCCTCCGGCCTAGAGCGATGTCCGCGACGCTGGAGCAAGCGTCGAAGATCGTGACGAATGTGACGCTGTTGGCCGGGAAGCCCTCGCAATCCATGGCGAGGAAGAGGTGGATCGCGGCGCGCGGGCGGCCGTTCTGGGCGTAGGCCGTGATCATCGCAGTCCAGGTCACGGAGCTCCTCTCGGGCATCGCCCCGAAGATACGAGCCGCGCGGCCCAGATCGCCATCGCTGGCGTGCGCCACCAGCATGTTCGTCCAGGAGACCACGTCCCGGCGCGGCATCCGATCGAAGAGGGCGCTGGCCTGGATCAATCGGCCGTTGCGCGCCAGCGCCATTTGCATCGCGGTCCACAGGACCACGTCCTGGGAATCGGCCATGGAGTGGAAGATCTCCTGGGCGTCCATCACGCGGCCGCATCGCCCGTAGAGATTGACGAGCGCGGTGGCCAGGATGATGTCGGATTCCAGCCCCGAGTGTTTGATCCTCGCGTGGATCTTCCTGCCCTCGTCCAGATCGGTGAGCTCGCAGCAAGCGTGGAGCGCACTGGCGAGCGTGATGCTATCGGGGTCGATGTCCATCGCTCTCCAGAGCTCCAGCGCCTCGCGAGGATTGCCGCCGCGCGCGTAGGAGGAGATCATCGCGTTCCACGAGAATGTGTTGCGAGAGAGCATGCGATCGAAGAGATCTCTCGCCTCGCGGAGGTCTCCCTTCCGCGCGTAGGCCAGCATGAGGGTGTTGAAGGTGAAGACTCCTCTCCACGCGCGCGGCATTCGATCGAAGCACCGCCGCGCCTCCGCAAGATGCCCATTTCGGGCATATGCTGTGAGCATCACGCTCCATGAGAAATCGTTGGGCTCCTTGATCGTGGCGAAGATCCGGGACGCCTCCGCGACGCAGTGGCAGCTCCCATACATCTGGATGAGGAGATTGCTGAGAGTCGTGACCCGATCCAGCCCGAGCTCTCGGAGTTTCTTGTGGATTGTCCTTCCCAGGGCCAGATTTCGCGAGCGATTGCATTGCCGGAGAGTGGATGCGTAGGAGGCGATCTCTGGTGGATCCAAGGCCGCCGTGGTGTGCGTGTTCTTGGCGAGGTTGCGCACCATTCATTGCTTTGATATTTCAAATAGAGGGAGGGCTAGGGTTTTTGGATGGAGCGATGCAGAGCGGTGTGACCGGATCGCCTGCGCGAGCTTCGTCTTCCTCCGCGGCGGCAGTGGTGGAGGATTCTCTGTTCGAGCGATTTGCCGAGGAGCTGACGCTCAAGGAGGATCGCAAGGCGGAGACCGAGAGAGGTGGGGTTGTCTTTGGATTTCTGGAAATATCGCGTTGAGAGCATCGCATTGTGTGGACGCAGCGCTTCTCGAGGATCTTCTCCAGTCTCTTCGCAAGGAGGAGAAGCTCCTGGACGCGGATGCTTGGAAATTTGCCGCGCCACGCTCACAGCCCAAGCACATTTCGTGAAAACTACGTAAAACTCACGTAAGTTTTCCTGAGGGAGAGCTTGGGTGTGGCTGACTTGGGTGTTGGTGGTGGATGGATTCCAGCTCCAAATGAGTAGTGACGACGACGAGGAAGTGTGGATCCCGCTCAGGGAGCGTGAAGAGTGGAAGGATGTAGAGCCTATTCCTCAGGACGATGGTCCAAATCCTGTCGTGCCAATCGCTTACACAAGCCAGTTCCGGGAAGTCATGGATTACTTTCGAGCTGTGGTTGCCAGAGACGAGCGCTCGGCACGAGCACTGAATCTCACTGGAGAAGTCATTGCCTTGAATCCTGGGAACTACACGGTAAGTCCCTTCTTGTATTTTCTTGGATCTGATCTTTCTTCTCCAGGTTTGGCATTTTCGGAGGCTAGTTCTTGAAGCTATCGAAGGAGATTTGGATAAAGAAATGGACTTCATCGAGAATATGGCAGAGGACAATGCTAAAAACTATCAAATCTGGTAAGTGTTTGGTTCGTCTAAAAGCACTAACCGAACCTTTTCTCTTCTTTTATCACGCAGGCATCACCGGCGATGGCTAGCTGAAAAGCGCGGACCGGCTTGTATGAACGCTGAGTTGGAATTCACGGCCAATATTCTCAGCGAAGATGGCAAGAATTATCACGCCTGGTCACACAGACAGGTAAAGAAGTACTATACTGATTCAGTCGTTCTCATTCATTTATGGTATGAATGTGCAGTGGGTTCTGGAAAAACTTGGAGGTTGGGAGAAAGAGCTCGAGTTTCTCGTCCAGATGCTTCAGGAAGATGTGTACAACAACTCTGTGTGGAACCAGGTATATATCCTAGACAACAATGCTTGTCCCTTATGGTGTTTCTCTTGTGCTCCCTACAGCGCTTCTTTGTGATCACCAACAGTCCTGCGATAGGTGGCCTCGTTGCTGCCAAAGATTCCGAGCTCAAGTTTTGCTGCGACGCGATCAGGTTCGCCCCGGACAATGAAAGTGCATGGAGGTACTTGGGGGGCTTGTTTAAGGACGACAAGAGCGCTCTTGTGAGAAGTCCGGAGGTCATCCGTGTCTGCATCGAAGAGCTTGCCAAGGACAAGATCTCTGTCCACGCGCTCAACTTTCTCCTGGAGCTGCTATGCCGTGGTTATCGGCCCACAGCTGACGATTGCAGGCTGCTGGACTTCCCCTCGGAGGGATTGTCGCCAGAGCAACTTGCGAGACAAGTCTGTGAGCGCCTGGAAGTGGCAGATTCGATGCGCCGGAACTACTGGGCCTGGAGGAAGTCTCTGCTCAAGAAGGCAAACAGTTGAAAAGAGCTTTTAGCTTTCTTTTTTCTCTCTTTACTCTTTTCTTCTCGTCGAACTTTCTTTCGCTAAACTTTTTCGTTCCAGTGAGCTTGTCAACGCTCCTTTCTAGTAACGTGACCTTCGTAGCTCCACCCGTTGCTGTCCTTGGCTCTGGACGCGCAATTGCACCAACCAGTCACTGACGAGCAAATTCAGGTAGACTGACAGGTACAAATTTCTTCTTTTCCGAAGTTGCAAGTTAGGAAGAGCAAGATTCACTCCTCTCATCTCACGGCAGGCAGCAGATGATTCATTTTTGCACAGCATGGTGATACCCGGTCTCCCAGATGACATAGCGCTCCAGTGCTTGATTCGGCTGCCAAAGTTCTCCCTTCTCAGGATCCGATGCGTTTCCAAGGCTTGGAACGAGCTCGTGAGCAGCAAGCAGTTTTATCTCCTGCGCCAGAGGCACCTCCTCGTGGACGATTGGCTGGTCCTCGTCGTACCAAGGAACTCCCGCTTGTACAAGTCCGCCCGGCTCCTCGCTTATGATTTCAACTCGGCCGCCAGCCACAGGATCAAAGGCCCGATGGAAGCAGAGAAACACTTGGACCTGATGGGAGTCGGCTGTGCGAGCCAGGGTCACCGCCTGTTCGTCCTCGGGGGATCGTCGGCCAGTCACGATGGGATAGAGTTTCAAAACCACTCGGGAGTGACCATTTTCGACGCGGCGACGAGCAGCTGGACGACCGGATCCAGGATGAAGATCGCAAGGTCCTACTTTGCGTGCTGTTTCATCGAGGGAACCTTGTACGTTGCCGGTGGTTGCGACAACGAGCAAAGTACAGAGGCCTACGACAGCGAGCTGGACAAGTGGACGCTGCTGGAATCGATGCCGTTTGGCTTCAACCACATCGAGAGCTTCGCGGTGTTCCAGAGCAAACTTTACGTCAAGGGGCGGGCCGGCAGGAACAGGAGGGTGCTCGTTTTCGATCCCAGGAGTAGTAGCAGCAGCAGCAGCAGCGACACCGGGCGGTGGAAACTCTCGCGAGGTTTGGAGGGAAATCTACGCGAGGGCGAGTTCGTGGCGACTGGCGATCACTTATACGTGATCAATCAGGCTGGGTACGTGGGGAGGCTTGACGATGACAAAGAACACGGTTGGAAGGAGGTCGGGATCGTGTCGCGCTACTTTCTCCCGTTCGCTGCCTCGTCGCCATCGTCGTTGTCAAGCTTGGATCTCGTCTCCAATTCTTCGTCCGCCGTGTTGTTTAGAAACGATGCGTTCTTCGTCACCAGCAAAGGCGGAGAGGACGTGACCGATTTGAAGAACTCCAGGCAGTTGTATAGAGCGCTGCTGCTTACGTTTTACCACTGCCAGGGAGCCGTGCTACACTTCTAGGTATTCCATTACCATCTTTGTTCTGGCCAAGTACTGTGACGTCCAGGGGTCGAAACCTGGGGCGAGACGTTTTTAAATTTTAATTTAGCGAGAAGTCTAAACCCCTAAACAGAGGTATTTTGCCATAGCTCGAGATCTATGGCGCTCTTCGTCTTCCATGGCGCGGCGCTGGCCCTGGCGCTGCTGCTCGCATTCGCGGCGGATTTTCCTTGCGCGGATTCATCGAATGATCAGGTAATGAGATGGAGCAGTGAATGAAATCGATCGCATTGCGCTGTTGCAGGCTTCTTCCGGCTACATAGTTTACATGGGGAGCAAGCCAGAGTCGCCGCGCGGCCATAAGCTGGCTCACTCGCACCATCGCATGCTTGCATCCGTTCTTCACAGGTATCTCGTTGGCTTTGGTTCTTATTTTCAAACTATAATGGCTGGAACAGTGAGGAGGCCGCCAGGGAATCGATTCTATACAGCTACACTCGCAGCTTCAATGGATTCTCTGCAAGGCTCAATGCCACGCACGTTGCCGCGCTCAAAAGCAAGTAGACGGGGCTGATTACAGAGGCTGACGCGATTGTCTTGCAGAGATGCCTGGCGTGCTCTCTGTCTTTCCTGACAAAAGGAACCAGCTACACACGACGCATTCGTGGAAGTTCCTGGGCCTCGAGGACGAAAACGGTGAGATTCCGGAAAACTCACTGTGGAGAAAAGCCAACTTTGGGAGCGGCGTTACCATTGGGTCCCTCGATACCGGTAACAGCAAGAAAGGAATTTCTTAATCAGACTCTTCTCACACATTTGCTTTGATAGGAGTTTGGCCTGAAAGTGCCAGTTTTGATGACAGTTCGTTTGATCCTGTTCCAAATACCTGGAAAGGCACCTGTGTGAATACAAACTCCTTCAATCCTAGCGATTGTAACAAGTAAGCTATGTGTGTACTCGTCAAACTTATGTATGTATTGGTGACTGGTATAGGAAGCTTATCGGTGCTCGCTTCTACATTAAAGCGTACGAGCTCAGCAAAGGCCCACTCAACACAACAGCCACTGGCGACTTTCGCTCTCCAAGAGACAAAGATGGCCATGGAACACACACCTCCTCGACTGCCAGTGGACGTTTCGTAGAGGGAGCAAACATACTCGGTTTTGCAAACGGGACGGCCAAAGGAGGTGCGTCCAAAGCCAGGCTAGCGGTCTACAAAGTCTGCTGGCCGGGAGGCTGTTGGGAGGCGGACATTCTCGCTGCCATGGACGACGCAATTGCAGACGGAGTGGACATCCTCACACTCTCGATTGGAGGCAAGGTTCCACTACCGGACTTTTTCCAGGACGGAATTGCCTTGGGAGCGTTTCACGCTATTCAGAAAGGGATAACTGTTGTTTGCTCCGCTGGAAATGATGGTCCGAAAGTTGGCAGTGTTGTGAACCTTCCTCCCTGGATTCTGACGGTCGCAGCTAGCAGCATCGACCGGAGTTTCAGTGCATCAGTTATTCTCGGCAACAACAAGACATACTTGGTAAGTATGGGTAGTATCCTTTCGTTTCGACAACTGTCCACTTTTTGTTGAAGGGGAGTAGCTTGTCCGAATTTAAACTGGAAGATCGGCTATACCCGATCGTGGCTTCATCTGACGTTGGCTACAGATCCTCGATAGGCAGGTAAGTTTTTTTCATTCACCTTTTCTGTTCTCACACATCAACGAAATGTTTTCTGTAGTCTGTTGTGCACTGTTGGATCCCTGGATCCAAAGAAAACTGAAGGCAAAATAGTGGTTTGCCTGCGGGGTGTGACAACTCGTCTTTCCAAAGGCACCGCGGTGAAGCAAGCTGGTGGAGCTGGCTTGGTTCTAGCCAATTCCGACGCAGATGGCGGAGAGCTCATTGCAGATCCACACGTCCTGCCTGCGACAAATGTTGATGCCCAAAGTGGTAAAGAAATATACGCCTACTTGAAGAACACAAAGTACGTATGCTCCATTTCCTCTATTTTGCTGCTGACATATTTCTTTCACTAGATCATCTGTTGGATATATCACACCCGCAAAAACCTTACTCGGCGTGGAGCCATCCCCGAAGATGGCTTCTTTCTCATCACAAGGTCCCAACACTCTCACTCCAGACATCCTGAAGGTAACAGTCGCCTGCTTTTAAGTCTGGGATGCTTATACAATCTTTTTTCTTCCAGCCTGACATAACAGGTCCCGGAATGAACATACTCGCAGCCTTCACTCGAGCTACAGCACCTGCGGGAGACGGCCGGCTCGTAGAGTTCAACGTCGAATCCGGAACATCGATGTCCTGTCCTCACTTAGCCGGCATCGTAGCGCTTCTCAAGGCCTTGCATCCGGATTGGAGCCCAGCGGCCATCAAGTCGGCCATCATGACAACAGGTTCGTCCCTTGTCCTCCGTTGTCTCGGTCGATGATCTGTGCTTCTTCCAGCTATAACTTACGACAACACCGGGAACAAGATCCTGGATGGTAGCAACAAAGTCGCAGGGCCTTTCAACTACGGCGCGGGTCATGTAAATGTCAATGCCGCGGCAGACCCGGGACTCGTCTACGACGCAGCCATCGAGGACTACATCTTCTTCCTGTGCGGCCTCGGATACAGCAGCGTCGCCATGGAAACCCTCACCGGCTACGAAGTCCACTGCCCCGACGCCAAGCTCAGCTTGAGCGACTTTAACTATCCATCGGTGACACTGTCCAACTTGAAAGGGAGTACCACCGTAACCAGAACCGTGACAAACGTCGGTGGTGACGGCCAAGCGGAATACAAAGTAGCCATCAATCCTCCCCCTGGAGTTTCAGTGTCAATCACGCCTTCCATTCTCAAGTTCTCCAGCACCGGCGAGAAGAAGTCTTTCACTCTGACGTTCACCGCCGAGAGATCCTCCAAGGGCGCATACGTTTTCGGGGACTTTAGCTGGAGCGACGGCAAGCACCAAGTGAGAAGTCCCATCGCCGTCAAGGCCACCGCCACCTCCGGCATCCAAGACGTCCAACTCCCGGAGCTCTCGGCCGCCATCTAAAACTGTACAACTATGATACAATGATAAGTTATCTACAGGGTGCTCTTACCAGAAGGAAGAAAAAAACAGTCGATGGAATTCTAGCTCGAGTGCTCGTCCTGGATGAAATCTTCCAGGAACTCTGTTCCTTGCAATGGTGGAAACTGAGCTGCCGGAACTGGTGGTATCACTTGCGAGGCATTTGGCATCCATCCAAACCCCGGAAAGCAAACCGGCCCTGGCATATAGCTGACGTGCTGGCTTGGATATCCTCCAAAGCACTGGCCCCCGGTGGGATAGAAACCTGGAGCCTGTTGTTGTTGTTGTGGTAGTGGTGGTGGTGGTAGCGCGGCTTCGTACTGCTGCAAGCTAACGCTGGGGTGTTGATAAGGCGTGGGTAGCACCTGGTATGGTTGTCCTGGCCAGTATGATGGCGGGGCGACCGAAGGATGGTATCCCACCATCACTTGAGGCGGCGGTAATCCACTTTGGTGCTCGTAGTTTTGGATTTGCTGCTGTCTTTCAGACTGGTAGCTTTGGTTCTGCTAGAAGGAAGAAGTTTGAGTGTACATAGAAGTTGGAAAGGAAAGATCTTGTGAGTTACCCGGTTATCAGCGAGCAGCACGGGATTGTTCATACGTGCGCCCGGAATTTGTCCAGCTTCGTGCTGGTGGCTGCGATTCTGATTGAGTGCCAGCTGCTGGAAACTTATATTTTCATCCTGCTGATTGGCACATAACGTTAGCAGTTTTCTTACAGAAGAAAAAAAAAAGGCGAGATGTTTGTGTACCCGCTTATCGTTGAATCGTTTCATCTGTGCTTCATGTATGAGCCGCTGCAAACCACAGTTAGTTTTCCTGTCATGAAATCTGAGTATTTAGATTACCTGCGCATCGCCGGGACTTCTCATTTTCCTATCACGAGGCGACTCGAATCCCTGCACGTAAGAAAAAGTAAGCTAGAGCCTGGATGTCGAAGCGGATACCTTGTGTGGTCCTCCATTGCCAAACTTGCTGGAATTACGAGCCCGAGGTGGCTTTTTCTCCTTGAAAGCTTGGCAGCTTGAGTCCTCCCTTGTTTTCCTCTTTGCTTTAGCTCTCTCGCGCTTAAATTCTGCTTCTTTCTCATCGTCAGAGAACTCCACTTCGTCGTCCGAAAGCTCTTCGTCGTCCACCCCAGACGCGTCGTAACCTTTCTTGAACAGGTTCTCGTTCTTCAAGACTGTTCTCGCGAAATCGGGAACGAAGGCCACTCGCGCCGATTCTCGTGCTTCTTTGGGAACCTCTGTAACGTCGTTGAATCGTACCACATAGAAGGGCTTCTTCACGGGGCCAAAGACTTCATCGATAAAACCAAGGGGAGCTCGGCTATCCGTCAGCCAGAGAATGGAGCCTTCATCGAGTGCCTGATGATTTTCATCACCTTCTACGATGATCATCGCTTCCACTATCTGAAACATCGAGTTTAAGCTACAGATAGAAAAGAAAAGCCAAGTATGCCGCAGTTTACCGAAGAGACTGTACCGATTGGGACTAAAGTGTGACAAGGCTGGAGCTGGACATCTACTTTTGGTACCGGAGGTAAGCTCTGCAAGAAGAAGAATGAACGAAAGAATGAAAAGAAGGAGGTAGAATCTACATTGTCATACCGAGATCTCGTTCTTGGTTCTCGGAGGCTTGTCATCTTCATCATCACTGCTATCCTTGTGAGTTTTTTTGCTTTCGCTTCCAAAGTTTTGCTCGAAAGAAGCCGTCCAGTCCTCATTGTCGTCGTCACTAGAGGAAGACTCCTCTTTTCCATGGTCGCTGTAAAGAGGCTCACTGTCCTCCATGGTCTCTCCCAGATCATCCTCTTCATCCTCCTCTTCGTCTTCCTCTTTCTCATTCTCTTCTTTCTGGACACAAGGAGCACTTACTCTGATTTTCTCGGCCAAATCTTCCTCCACCTCGCCTTCCTCTCGATCATCGTCAACGCTCGTGAGCCTGGAGGATTCCACATCCTCGGCGCTACCATCTTGCGGCGGCTGGTCTTGCTCGATTACCACCGGCTTCGGATTCCCATCGACTACCATCGGATTCGAATTCTCATCGATTACCACCGGCTTCACATTCTCGATCTCCAGCAAATGCTTCTGATCGTCCTCCACTGGCGCCCCTTTCTCGGGATCTTTACCTTCGATCGAACGCTGCTCTAGCTCGTCGGCGGCAGGCTCCATCGCCATAAACCCTAGACAAAACCTCCCAAACGGTATATTCCACGAATAGCCTTTTAGGGTTCTTGTAGGGTATGGGGATCGCCAAGAAGATAGATCTCGCGATCGGCGTTCTCGGCGTGCTTCTCCTCGCGCATGCGGCGCATTCCACGATCCAGTGTAAGCCGCGCCTCTCTGGATCTTCCAGATTTCATCTCGCATCCACTTGCAGATCGCGCGGCTCTCAAGATCAAGGAGGAAGAATTTTCTCGCGTTTCATTCCAGGTGCTTTGTTTGTTACTTCCTCTCTTTCCTCGCTTTGGTGATCACAAGCGCCTGCCTTCGCAGATTTTGGTCGAAGTTTTGGTGAGCTCGGCGCTGTGCCTCTGGGCAGCGCTTTCGGTTCCTGGTACATTCCTGGAGATTCTTCCAGACTCGAAACACGACAGGTTTGTCTCCATCTTTTCTCGTGTTTTTTTTTTCTCCTCTCACGTTTGTTCTTGGGCAGGATCTTGCAGCTTCCGGAAAACCTTGACTTCATGATCTTCAATCACCGAGGGAAGCTCTTCCCACCAAAGCTGGATGTAAATTAAATCGGTAAACCACTACTGCCACCTTTTGTCCATTCTTTTTGCGAGGTTTTATAGCCGGTATGGGATTTCTCCACTCGAGGGCGAGGGCCCTTCCACAGCTGATGGTCTTCGCTCGGCAAAAGTTTACGCTGGCATTCAAGCACGATCCAAAGAAGCAAGCTCTCCTCTTCTACACAAGAGATCCACCACCGGAAGAAAAGCCGCTCGCTCTCGAGTGGGCTTTCAAGGATCTCTACCTCGACTTGACAGGGAAGGGACAGATGCCAAAGGCAAAGCACAGGAACCGCTTAGTCCCAGACTGTCGCCGGATGAAAACTTGGGCAGTGGTGTCCGTCCTGGAGGAGATGGGCCGAATGCCAAGGCGGCGAGAGTTCACAGTCTGTGCCATAAGCAGGCTCTTCTTCCGGCACAGGGCCTTCAAGGTTGGCTTCTCGGACGAGGCTCCAAACCACGTCAGGCTCAAGCCGGGGTTTTTGTTCTCGAGGCTCGTTGAGGAACAACTCGAGCTAGAAGGGAAGATGGACTCGGAAGGCTACAGGCGTTTGAAGAGGATGGTCGTCGAGAATTGCTACGTGAGGCACGGGATTGAGGTCGACTTGAGGCACGCTCCAGGAGTTGGCGAAAAGAGATACGTGGTTTTTCCCAGGCAGATCAACCGGAGGGAGATCACAAGGTGCTTGGCTATGGCTGGGATCAGAATGAGGCTGATGAGGTTGCGGATTCTCAGGCCTGTTGGCAAGAAGAGGATTCCAACACGGTGTATTGTATTTCCTGCTGGCAAAGGAAGAAAGGAAGCGATCGCAAATGCTACAAGAGTAACGAGCAAGCATACCGTGCCTGAGGAGGATGGGAGTACCTGAAGAGCTCAAACCGGAAAGCTTCATGTACAAGCGTTTTGTACAACTCACGGGATCTTTTGCGTGACTCGTTTCACGGCAACTTTCATTTCATCTCTTCCCAGTGATGTTGTTACGTGAACTTCTTGAACCTGCAATGAGAATGTCAGCTAGATGTTTTGGATTTCCGTGTGGTTTACCTGTCGGCCTGCGCGTGCCAAGAGGGTGATATGCCCGTCTTCAACCGGACCCTATGGAATTTGCGATGCTTAGATTCGAGCTACTTAAGCGATACTCCTACCTGTGAAAGCCAGAGTTCCAAATCTTGAGACACGACGTGCTTCTCGAGCTTTTGCCTACCCAGAGTCACTGCAGTTACTCTGTTCGTGTGATCATATTGGTCGTGAGAAGAGAGAACTTCAAATGCATACATACCCGCTTTCCTTCTCCAGCTCCTCACAGATCTTGTCAATCCCAGGTAGAGGTGAGTTTAACAGCTGCTCGTCTGAGTCGCTTGAGCCAGGTTCCGTTGAAGAATCCTGTGCTTAGAGTGTTGCAGGAATTGGAAAACTGTGTGCTGAAGTCACTACCTTTGGCATCAATGTATCCAGAGTCTCCATGAGTGGGTCAGGTTCCAGTTGCCTTATAGACAACGCTAACCTCATGCTTTCTCTGGAAAAAAAAAAAGGAAAAAGAGCTTGCGAGAAATGATCCGATTTGACTTACTCGTCAATCCCGGTCACTTTTACTTTCACGTCTTGGCCGACTGATAGTACGTCTCGCGGATTAGTTACAGTATCCCAGGAGATTTCCTTCACATGAACCAAGCCCACCGCAGGGTATGTTCCTGTCCCTCCAACCGTAAGAACAAACATCCAAAGGAAACGCGAGAGAACAAACCATCTGCGTAGCGAATGTCCACAAAGGCTCCATAATCAACTATGCCGGTAACTTGGCCATCCAGTACGTTTCCTATCTGAATCTTCGAGCCAAACTGCGACCAGAGAGCTTTCCTCTCGGAAAACACCAACTTTCTCTTTTTTCTGTCAGCTTCAATGACCTGCGAATTGCTTTATGTTGTCACGAGCATCAGAAACGAAAGGACTTACCAAGACAGGGACAGACTTTCCGATGAGTTCTTTCCCCACATCCATAACAGTCTTGGACGTGTCTGCAAGGAAAATCCAAGTGAAAACGAAGGAAAGCTCTTCTTCTCTTACCTCGGGGTAGCCGAGCTAAACTCAGCTGAGAGTAAGGCAAGAAACCACGTAAACTGTAGAAACGAAGCACCACGCCACCTTGATTGAAGGACTCTATCTTAGCTTGGAAAATCCCTCCTTTCTTTTGGAAGCTCTCAGCTCTTTTCCAGTCTTGCAGCCTCTGCAACACAATCGATCAGTCAAAAAGAATGAGCGTAGAACCAAAGAAAATCCTTACCCGAGCACGAATGGCTTGAAAGTTCTGCCAGTAAGTAGAAGACCCCTTCCCTTCTTTCTCGGACGAATCCTTCTCTTCATCGCTCTCGGCAGCACTGTCGAGCGAATCCTTAGCCTCCGCATCGTCTGCCGGATCTTCCTTAGCCTCCTCCACGTCCACATTTCCGGAATCCTTCACCTCGACGCTCGACGCATCGGAGGCGACGCATTCTACCACAGCTGTGATGGAGCGCCCGTGGCCTACCCTCAAATCCTGGCGCCAAGCCTCCCACCTGAACCGAAGAGAGGCGTCGCCCAGCAGCAGCGCTGATCCGCGGCCTCCCCTGGCGATGGTGGCAGTGCCGATGCATCCGCCGGTACCTGGAACGCAAACCCTAGCAGCGCTCATCCTCACATCAAAGAAGTGTGTGGCTCTGCTCTTTCTTCTCTCTTCGCCGTGGCAATGCACGCACGCTGGCCGTCCATTTCGGAGATGGACGGCTGGCGATGAGTTATTCAAACAGACGCATATTCGGAAATATGAATTCCATAAGACCTAAACCCTTGCTCTTTCGATCCGAGCAAAACTCCCTGCGATCCATGCTTCTCTCTTTTGCCTGTTTTTACTTTGCAAGTTTTGTAGACGTCTGGCTGCGCAGGCCCGGAGAATCTGGAGAAGCTTGTTGCAATTGGGAAAGGCCTGCTGAAACTTAGAAAGCGGTGAACTGGAGGACACATTTCTGGGGATGAAACAAACCAGAGAGAATTGCTGGCTGGTTGTCACAGAACAGGAAGAAGTAGACAAGATTGGATTAGTAAAACAGGAGAAAAAACAACTTAACAGTTTTTCTATCTTTAACGAAGTAATGTAGCATTGCTCGATTGATAGTATGCCTTCACAAGCACAGCAAAGACAATGGTTAGCAATAGAAAATAGTTTCCAACATAGTAGAACTGAGCGGACAAGTTGGCGTTCAGGACTTCCTGCATAAACGAGAAAAGGAAACTGGTCAGGTACAGAAACAAATCGAAACGTACCACGAACGCCTGGAGAGAGGATTGGACAAGCAGCGCTGCCACAGCATTGAGGCTGAACAAGAAAATAAAGTGGCCGTGAGAGAGAAACCGAGCGCATTGGACGTAGAGGATGCAAAGAAGGAACTTGTTCAGAGCAACACACAAGATGTATGCTGCGTGCACGATCCACAAGGCCTTGGAGCGGGACAGTACAACGCACAGCAGCCATGTCAGTCCAGATCCTCCGGCGTAGAGCAGACCACCAGCCTTTGACGTGTAGCGAGAAGCTGGAACAGCGATGAGAGCTGCAACACAAGACGCCCCTTGCGTTGCAGCAATGACATGGCCGTTGTAGATGGACGTTGGATCGACAGCATCGAACAGATTCGTGCCGTAATTCTCGATCATCGCCGTGCCGCCTAGCTGAAAAGCCCACCTACAAAAAACGATGCGTGGTTAAGTCATCTAAGAACATCTTAAACCCACCAGAGAGACAGTAGTTGTAGACTTCGATTGCTCCAGGTAGCTTTCACCAATTCCACGAAGTTCTAAGACCATAGTTGTAAGTGGGGAAGCCGAAGGCCGTCTACGATATGCCATACCTGACAGGAAGAAGTAGGAGTTTCCCAGTCCAGCTCCAAGTCTCCCAAGCTAGATACATCGATCCAGTGTCGCATTTCCACCGGAAGAAAAACGCATGCTACCAACGCAAGTGCAACCTAGCACAGATGCAAATCGTCAGCACAATCTTCCGAGAACATTTCTATCCATGGATACCATGCACGTTGAAATGTACAGTAGAACGATCAAGTTAACCCCCTCCGAAACGAGGAGCTGACCTGAGAAAAGAAAAGGAAATATAACCAGTCAGTTCCTAGAGATCCCACTGACCGGACCTACTTAGCTCAGCAGCAATGAAAAAAGAAAATGTGGATGAGGCCTGAGTGAAACTAGTCTGTAGTTCCCAAAAGAAACTAAGAACTTTTCTCAAACTTGTGCGTACGTACCAGCGACTGATACATGTTCTCCTTGACGAGAACAAAAAGGTAGGAAGAAAAAACGAGATCGCTGGCGACTCCCAACGCATACGTAGCCTAGAAAGCAAAACAAGGAAACACATCAGAACTAAAACTCAAAATTCTCTGAGGTTGTCACAAACCTGCATAAGCTGCATTGAGAGCAATGATCTTCCGAAAAGAAGGATAAAAAACGTCGACAAACGACCCAAAGTACCTGGAAGAACCGAGCACTGTGAATCATCAAAACGAAACACTCACTCACGTACCAATCAAAATGACCGAGCGATACTTGAGATAAGTACACGCCGGCGCGGCTAGAAGCGTAAAGACCAGCGTAGAGTATACCGACACTGGAAAAATCTCGGTGGTGACCTGCGAGTGTGGCTCAATCCTCGTGAGCGATCGAATTCCCAGAGCCACATTCTAGCTGATTAAGCTAATCCTTACCACATTATTGCTGAATCCCTTCACCTTGGTGAGAAATGGCACCAGGTATGGCTCCGACGGCGTGAACTGGAGACAAAACGCGTAGACGCACATCAATGCCACACCGCTGCCGCGCAAGCCGCCATCGCTTCCCCCTTCCTCGCGCTCCTCCTCCATCACAGGAGGAAGGAGCCCTAAAATCACGAGGGTTTTAGGGCCTTTACACATGGTCCGCATTGTATGGCTGTGATTTGTTCTCACATGCCACGCGTCAGGCCAGGATGGCACTAGCCAGTTCCTTATGAACCTCTCCACTTGGGCAAGGCATGAAGCATGCCTTGCGAGGTAAAAAACAAAGGCACAATTGGCCACCCTTGCCGCGGGTATAAAATCCAGCGGGCTAGCAAGCAAAATGTAGGCTCTCGGACTCTTCCCAGTCGATCGATCGATCACTCGCTCTTTTTGGAGAAGCAAAGATGAGGAGCTCCAAGCTGGTCTTTGCTCTCTTGAGCATTGCTCTGGTGATGCGGTTCTCGGGTAAGCTGCCGCTTCGATTGGATTGCTCCTCGATGGAGAAGAGAAAGAACTGTGCTGATCGTGTGTGAATTCCAGAGGCATTGTCTAACTTGGATCAAGCTCCAGTGGCCTCGTACGAGCCACAGCAAGTAGCCCCCGCTGCGTCCTTCGGCTATGATTCCATCCGCGAGAGAGCCCAAGTGCCGACCGCCGCCTTCTACCGCGAGGCGCAAGCTCCCACCGCCTCCAAGAACTTTGGAATGGAGAAGTGGGAGGCAGCGGCGCAAGCTCCCACGGCCTCCAGGATCTTTGGAATGGAGAACTGGGAGGAGGAGGCGCAAGTCCCTGTGGCGATGGAGAGGGAGTCCCAGGCGCCAACCTCCTCCTTTGGCATGAACAGAGGCCGGATGAACATCGAGGAGATCTCACAAGCTCCCACCGCGTCGCTCAAGCCCGCCGCCGTCTCCCTCGCCAATCTCGATCGCGAGCTCGACACCATGATGGGGATGACCCGCGAGGAGCGCAGGAACTTCATCGCCGCCCAAGCTCCGGTCGCATCCCGCGGGATCAACCACATCCCCAGGGAGAGCATCACTCCCACCGCGTCCTTCGAGAACATGTACTTCGATCGATCGCAGGCCCCCGCCGCGAGCGTGGGAATGGATCACCACCCGGATCAGCTCGCCCCGACCGCGTCGCTCAAGATGGATCGCCGATTGAGCGAGGAGCTCCTCGCCCAGGTGCCGGTCTCCTCCCTCCATCTCGATCAAATCTTCCCAGTGGCCGCGTACCAGGAGCAGCAGATCTCGCCCAGCGCCTCCTTCGAGGCCCAGGCGCCCACCACGTCCTACACCATGGGAGAAGAAAAGGTCAACGGCGGAGCCGCCACGCCGGTCAGCGCATATCACAACCGTCGCCTGCTCCAAGCAACGGACGGTACGTACTAGATTCGCGGTCAGCCCAAGTCCACCTTACTCTCTTATAACCTCGTTCGTCGTCGTCTTCCTTCTTAGTCCACGCTCATTGACTAGCTACTAAAGCCTTGGTGTAAATTGGAATAAAAGCAGTGTGCTCCACGCCTCCGACGTGCTCGCCCGACGGACCCTACGTGGAGTGTGCCACCGGAGGCCGGTTAAGCTGCGTGTGTAGCTGGGTAGCAAGGTGCCAGCCCGACGTAAACAATTGTTACTTCCACACCAACGATGAGATCTTCACCTCGTGTGGGTTTTGATCGCATCCAACGGTGTATAAATAAATTATTTTCCCCCCTTAGTTAAACACATATGCCATGTAACATTCGCAGAATAATTTAATCAAAACAGGTTTTCCTTTAAGCTATTTTTACCCTTGGTTAACCATCAGCCAAATAGCTGGGGTTTTAGGGTTCTTGCGATTTCCAGGAGGGCGGCCATGGAGGCCAGCCCAGCGATCACGCCAATGTAGGCTCTTCTCCACGCTCTCTCCGGCGAGAAGATGTCCAATCCCTCGAAGACGTTGGCGATCGACAGGGCGATGACGGTGTAGCCCACGGTTCGGTGGTACAAGCTCCACAGCCAGCGGAGCTTGTGATCCTTCTTGGCGCGGAGGAAGAACGCGATCGCTTGGAGTGATCCCAAGGTGAAGACGGTGATGCCGATCCTGCGGTGAGTGGTGTACTCGATCCCCGTAGATTTGGCTCCCAGGCTCAGGCCGATGCCATAGCCGGCGGTGCCCAGCAAGAACCCTAGCCCCTGGCAGCATTCGTGGGCGTAGAACCAGGCCGGATCGAATCGCCGGAGGTATCGAGCCGCGATCGCTCCCAGCGGCAAAAGAAATCCCCACGAGGCGGCGCAGAGCAATCCGTGTGTGATCTTAAGCGCCAGGCTTGGAGCCTTGCCAAGGACGCCAGTTCCATTGGCGAGATCGAGCGTCCCTCGCCCTCGCAGTTCGCTCGATCGGGTGACACTGTGCGGCAGCGGTGAATCGCCGTTGACTCCTGTTCCTCGCGTCCAGATGTGGAAGATCCTGGAGGAATTGGAGCGGAACTTGATCCTGGCGGAGAACTGGATGCTCGCTCCAGAGATTTTGATCCAGTTTGTTCTCGCGAGCTGGAGATCCGGGGTGGAATTGGAGGCGGAGGGATGAAGCGAGCGGTACGTGTAGGTCTCGCTGGTGATGCTGTAGAGATGGAGGTGAGCTCCAGTGGCGTTTCGAAAGGCGATGAGAGCGCTGCTGCCGATCATGTTGTCCCCGATTGGATTGTAGCCCCATCCAGCCCAGCCCGGGGACTCACCCGAGAACGCCAGATCCAAGCTCTGGTTTTGGGCGAAGAAATTCCACGCCAGGAACGCACCCTGCGCTCCCAAGGCCACGCAGTGCTCGAATTCTCGGAGCAAACCATCGGTGGAGCACTGATCTTCCTGCCGCGGGGAAGACATTTCGGATTTTGCTCCATGGCAGAAGAAAGCGATCGCGATGAGATCAAGCAGTGGCCAGTGGCGGCGGCGGCGGCATTTGTATCCCATGGAAGAACAAGTCCATTACCTATTGACTTTTAGTTTAAAAGAATTTGCCGGGAGGGGTATATTCTCGGTGCTGGAGAATATGCTTTTGTTTGAATGCCAGCCGTTGGATTGCACGGACGGATAGGAGTCCCCCAAGTTGCAAGGGGAAAGTGGTGGCTTTCATTCGAGACACCAGTTTCCAGGTATCGTCCTGTATCATTTTGTGGAATCGTGCCGGCAACTAGCAAAGTTTCTGGGAGGACATGATCTCGCCGCAACAGCCTTGGGAGATTTTGATATCACTTCCATGCCTTTTAAGTGAAAAGCCAAGTGAAAATTGGAGTGGCTGTCCTCTTTTTGTTATTTCGATTTGCCCGAGTTTCAGGAGAGATTGCGTGAGATGATAATGCTGGGCGCTTGTGTGATTGACACCACATCAACGTTGAGCCTTTAAATGCGGAGATTTCAAAGGTACTGGGGCCCTAAAACTGGCTGGCCAATGCAGACAATGCGGTTGGCGAGATCTTGTTCGATAAGTAGAACGGAAGGCTGGAGCCCTAATCTTCAGAGGTGGTACACTCGCAAATGGGCTATCTATCTCTAAAAGCGTGAAAGCGTCACTGGTCCAATGGCTATGGAGTAACAGTTTTCTCTGGCCAGTGGACAAACAAACCACCAGAAAAAATGACAAGGAAAAGAGAGGAGTGGGGACTTTTTATCCTCTCTGGATGCGTTCCACGCCAGATGCCACGTGGACGCCCAGCGATGGCCCAAGCTTTTCCAGCCACGGAATGTACTCATAAGTTCTGCCGTGGAAAACGAGACAAATCCGATGCCGCCACCTCATATTGCCGGCTGGCCCGGGCAACATTACCGCCACGTCAGCTTCGAAAGAAATCCCAGCAGTGGGCATTTGCTGCATTGCCCGATTTCCTCGCCATTAATTTCCATGATGCGAGTTTGTCGCCACCGATCGACCGAGACGAGACGATACGATCTTCGCAAGAAACCGAGAGTGATCAGCGGTGAGAAAATTCCAGCAAACGAGGAGTATCTTCTCCTTTTTCTAGTTGTTTCCTACTGCCGCAAAGCGTGCACACATAAACTCTTGTGTGTGGACGTGTGCACTTCCAAACGAACTTTGATGAATGGAAAACTCCAAAACCACAAAAGAGGAGAGAAGAGAAAGCGTAGACTCGGCTCGGCTCCGCCAAACGAAACGGGCGTGTGCCTGTAAATGTGATTGGTCCATGGAAGATGCAAGGGATATCCCACTTGTTCTCTGGAAGAAGGGAGAAAATTTTGTTTTGGGTGGTGGGGTGGCGGTGGGAAAATCCGTTAGAAGAATTAGGCTATGATACATGGTTTCGTGTTGTCATGAAGCATACTAGTTTTGGCCCTGACACTGATTCTCTTGGTTTTGAATTATAAGGAGAGTGAAAGCAAAGCCCTAGCCGCCGGGGGATATTCCTATATATACCACCAGTAATATCCTGCTAGGTAGTCCACTTAGTTTTCTTCCTGTGTCTTTCACCCAAGAGCGTGAGCGATCAATGCAGTAGTAGCGCCCATCACAGTTCCCAGTCTATTGGATTGGATTCCCTTTGCGCGATTGGATCGATTCTGGGATCCCCTCTGGCCTGGCGCTCCTCTTATCTTCCTCTGTTTTTTAGCCGATTGAAATCCAATCCAGTCGCGCCGCGCGCCCGGATCGTCTGATCGATCCAGCTAGCGAGGGAGGAGAAAAAGAAAAGGAGGCAAGAATGAGAGGTCCCGTGATGGTCGATTCGATGATCCAGCTGCCCCAAATGGAGAAGAGCAGCGCGGAGGACGATCAGCACCCCCACCGTTTCAGAAAGGGGGAATTCCCGCCGCCGATGCCATCGCTGGCGCGCACGAGCTACAACCATCTGCCGCTCCAGGTGCCGTGGACGCTCCTCTCGGCCAATCGCAGCAACAATCGCGTGGTGCTCCACGAGATCAAGGCGGCGCACGGCGCGCAGCTCATGCTCTTCCAGCCCATCCGCAGCCAGGGGAGGCTCGTCCTCCAGATGCTCCGCCACGATTCGGACGACGAATTGGGCGGCGAGACCGATCAGGAGCTAGAGGAGACCGAGACTGAGGAGGAGCCATCGCCGCCGCTGGAATCCAGCTCCAGCGGCGACTCCTCCGCCACCGCCACTTTCCTGTCCACCACCGCCAGCACCGGCAGCACCATCGACATGGAATCCGAGTTGGATTGATAAAAATCAATCACCGATTTCTCGGCGATCTTTAGCCAGGCTCTAGCGGAAGTTTGTCTCTCTTGCGTTTTTTTTTTTTTTTCCTTTCCTCGTTCTTTACTTCGAATTTCTGTTTCCGTGTTTTTCCTCTGGTTATATGTATGCGTTCTTCCAGCCATGATATAGCCGAGATGACGACAATGACGAACAAAGATTGGTCTCAAAACTTTAATATAGTTTCATTGAATCTTCTCCAAGGAAGTGTGATCTCCTTTCGGATTATCCTTGTATGGAAGATCTGATACAAGGAGTAGAATAGTATAGCAACAATGTGTGAAATTCTATAGCCCACAAAAAAGAAAAGAAATATAAAGAGTTATAGAGAATTATAGGCGCAGCAAAGATCGTCGGGCAGTACTAGTGCCAAGCGTTTGGGTGTACGCGAGCACTTCAAATGATTAACCACGATATACTATTTATCGATCTGTCTATCTATCTATATGCTATTTATAGTCTTGCGGTGCCCATTGAGATACAATGCGATTGAAAAAACTTTCCTCCACATTCCCGCTCCGTTCCAAGCCACTCAGCTCGCTCAATCCCGCTCGTCGCTTCATCTCCACGATCCCGGGAGCTCCCACTCCCCTATGACGTTCCACGCTCTCCTTTGCGAAGTCACGCAGTGTTTTTCATCGTCAAAAACTCGGAATTTTCTTGCAAAAACCAGGGCTCTAGAAAAGGTGTGGAGTTGATTTCCCGTTATCCTCAACTGCATTGTAAAATGTGGGCTGCGTTCGCCTCAAGACCGATTCCGCGTAGCATGGAGGACTTAAACAAATGGTCGATTTCAACGACGTGTGGTGCCCAGGTAATTCACTCGCGTGGAAATGCGCTGGGGCGAGAGGCGGGGTCCCGTTGTCTCTTTCGGCACGAAAGATTTTCGCCCACACACAAAAATGATCATAGAGTAGAAACCAAAGATGAAGTGCAAGTTGATCTGGAGGAGAGAGAGAGAGAGAGAGAAAGAGAGAGAGAGGAGAAAAAGAGAGCAGAGATTTAAGAGACGGTGAAGTGACAATCCGAATGGGTACGAGTTGGCCCTTTTGCTAGTGCTCCCTGGGGCGATATGGTGGCAGCAAACGAATCAGAGCTTTTAGGGCAAAGTGTCCATGACGTGGCAGATATTTAAAGGCCACGTCCGACTAACCTGTGCACGTTGCCCTAATGCGACATGGGTGGCCCTAGAACACTTGGCAGCTGCTGGGGCTGCCACGTGTCAAGAGGAGGCTCGCTCTCGTAGATGTTGGACATTAGCACGTGCGCGGCGGCGGCCGCGGTGCCGCCGAGCGGTACCAGCGACTCAAACGCCCGCCGCCCCACGGCGACGTTCCGCCACTTCGCGCACGCGTTGAGCAGGATCATCCACGTCACGGCGCTGGGCTGGAATGGCATCGCCGCCACCATCGCCGCCGCCTCCTCGAGCTCGTTCGCCCTGCCCAGCATGTCGATCATCGCGTGGTAGTGCCCGATCTCCGGAGAGATCCTGCTAAACACTCCATCATGGTTTCCCCCGCCAATCGCGATCGCTCCAAAGATCTGGCGAGCCTTGCCCACCAGCCCCGCGTGGCTGCACGCCGCCAGGAGCGACGTGAGCGTCACCGTGTCGGCGTGCCCGCCCTCGCGCGACATGCTCCCCAAGCTCCGGAACACCATGTCGGTGTCCCCCTGTCGGCCGTAGCCCGCCAGGAGCGTGTTCCACGTCACCAGACCGGCGGCGGGCATGGAGTCAAACACCCGGCGCGCGTCGCCCATGCCGCCACACCTGCCGTACACGTCCACCAGGCAATTCGCGAGGACCTCGTCGTGTTCTTCGCGAAAGCCGCGCCGGAGAAGTGCCGAGTGGATCCTCCGGCATTGCGCGAGCGAGGCCAGATTGCCGCAGGCCTTGAGCGCGGCGGCGTAGGTCCTGGAATCCGGGCGGCACGAGCAGCGATCCGCGGCGGCGAGCTCCATCCGCGCGAGGGATTCGAGCGCCAGGGATTCCTCGCCGGTGTCCGCGTAGCTGAGGATGAGCGCGTTCCACGCGACGGTGTCCGGACGCTCGATCGCGGCGAACGCGTGCCCTGAGTCGAGCGCGCTGCCACACTTCGCGTACATGTCCACGAGGCTGCTCGCCGCGAACTTGTCCAGATCGAGCAACCGCGAGGCGATCAGTCGAGCATGGATCGCCATGCCGGTTTCGAGAGACCGAGCTTTGATCGCGAGCTTGCCGAGCTGCCGGGGCTCCTCCCTCGCGGCCATGCCGGTACACGCCTTGATCGCCGCCACGAAAGTTGGCGTGCCTGGCTCCACGTCTCCCGGGAGTTTGGAGAAGAGATCCAGCGCTCTCTCCTCCTCGCCGTTCTCGGCGTATCCCAGTAGCAAGGCCGTGGTTGACACCACGTCGTGACGAGCTTGGAAGGCATCGAACTGGCGGCGCGCAAGATCCATGCAGCCAGACTTCGCGTACATGTCGATCAAGCCGCTCACCACGAACAAGTTGGCGGAGAGATCGCAGGCGCGGGAGCTTGCGGCGAGCAGGTGGAGCGCCATGGCTGTCTCCAGCGACTTTAGCTTGAGTATCTTTCCACTGTGATCATCGAGTTCCCGGCCCTGTTCTTCGTCGGCTAGAGCAGCACAAGCCTTGAAAGCGGCGACGAAAGTCCTCGAGTTCGCGAGAGTCTTGGTTTGCAGCATCCTGGAGAACAAATCGAGCGCCAGCTTCGCGCGACCATTCTCGACGCAGCCAAGCAGCATGGCGTTCCAGGAGACGACGCTGTGGTTCGGCATGGCGTCGAAGATCCTCCGAGCGTCGTCCAAGCTCCCACACTTCGCAAACATGTTGACGAGCGTGGTGGCGACGAGGATGTCTGTGTCGAAACCGGCCATGGCGGCTCGAGAGTACACCGCCATGCCAATCTCCAAGCACCGGAGCTTGAGAGACTTCCCTTCCACCCTGTGGCTGTGCTCGCTGGCCGCCATAGCCGCGCAAGCTTTGAGCGCCGCCATGAAAGTCAGTGCGCTTGGCTCGCATCTCCTCCCCGCTAGCATCTTTTCAAAGAGCTCCAGCGCCACTCTTGGCTCGCCATTGTCGACGTATCCCAGCACTAGGGAGTTCCAAGAGACCACACTGCGTGTTTGCATCTTGTCGAACACCTCGCGAGCATCGGCCAAGCTTCCACACTTTGCGTACATGTTGACAAGGCTGTTTGATACGTAAGTGGTCGAGCTCCAGCCTTTGTTGATCGCCTCGGCATGGAGATTTTTTCCACTTCTCAAGTCCCTCGCATTGGAGCATTCCCTGAGTGCTACTAGGAAACTGGAGATGGATTTTCCTGCCACTGTTGTTTTCTTTTCTCGTGACTGTGGAAGCTCGCTGGGTTTCGAGTTTGTCGATGGCGCCGCGGCTAAATCCATGGCTGGGACCGCGAAGATTGGAGCATTGCGAGAAGAAGTTCGGAGTTTTACCTCGTTCCACTGTGCAAGAGCCCTACGACGCTTCAAAATCCTGTTTTGGCGAAGATAAGTTCCTTATCACAAACAAATGGATGGAAAATGGTATCACTTCACATTGGTGTTCTTTGTTTTACATCTTGGAGCTAATAATTTTTGAAACTACAGCCGGGTCAGCCAGCGTACTTGTGTCGCCCTGCAGCAAAAACGAACGAAAGCTCATATGATCTACCTCAATGCATTGTTTACATACCAGGTCAGTTCTGTTCGAGGCGATTTTACGAAGAATGTTTCGCATGACTTTCCCACTTCGCGTCTTGGGGAGTCCCGGAACGAAATGTAGCACGTCCGGAACAGCAAATCCTCCAATCTACGGAGCAACGGAAGGACAAAATCGAAACTTTCATCACAGTAGACTAAGAAGTATACCTCTTTTCTGGCTAGAACTTTCAAGGCCTTGATCAGCTCGCCTCTGTCTGTATGCCCGTCCATCTGGATGATATAGGCGTAGATTCCCTCTCCCTTCACCTGCAACAAAAGCAATCTAATAATCAATTCTCGCTCGATCGCCGTGGCATCTCACCTCGTGTGGAAATCCCACCACAGCAACTTCAGCACATCCGGGATGAGAAGCCAGAGCAGCTTCCACCTCTGAGGTACTTATTCTGTGACCACTGATAGAAATCCAAAACAAAAAACATCACATACATATCTTCGCTTGTTCCCTGGAAAGCTCTGGCGTAGAATCCGATTACCTGACATTGATAACATCATCAACGCGTCCCGTGATAGTAATGTAGCCATTTTCATCACGCCGGCACCCGTCTCCGGTGTTGTAGTAACTCAGCCAGGTGCTAAAGTACGTCTCCTCGTATCTCTTGTGGTCACCGTAAATCGTCCGGGCGATTCCTGGCCACGGACGCCGTATACACAGGTAGCCCTCGCAAGGGCCCTTCAGCTCCTTGCCTTGTTGATCCAAAACTACTGGCTGCATCAAGGAAGAACAGAAACAAGAAACTTAGTATTTTAGCTCGAAGATCACACTACTCGAAGAACTTTACCTCCACTCCAAAGAAAGGAAGAGTTGCCGATCCTGGTTTCAAAGGCCACGCACCGGGTAGAGGCGTGAGCATAACTCCGCCTGTCTCCGTTTGCCACCATGTATCTAAGATCGGACATCTTCTATCGCCAACCACGTCGAAGTACCAGTTCCAAGCTTTTGGATTGATTGGCTCTCCGGCCGTGGCTAGCAGCCGAAGGGTGGACCGCGAGAATTTCTTGACATGCTGACACGAGACGCAAAGTCAGGAATCAATAATAGGTGAGATGCAAGTGCTTTACCTCTTTATCGTACGCCTGCAAGGATCGAATGAGCGTCGGTGCGGTATAGAATGCGGTGACTTTGTACTTGTCTACTATTTCCCAGCAGCGACCCGGATGAGGCCAGGCCGGGACCTTGAATCGCAGGAAAAAAAGAAAAAGTTTGAGAAAAAGTCTAAAAGAGAAAGCAAGGACTAAATACCCCTTCGTAGACTAGAGAGGTTGTACCATTCAGCAAGGGCCCATACACGACGTATGTGTGGCCCGTTATCCATCCACAGTCGGCAGTACACCTGCGAAGAAGTTCTTAGAGGAGTTGTCGCGCTGGTGGAACCATGACGAGAAAAATCACCAGAAAACATCTTCCTTGCGCGGAGCAAAGCAGTACTTGAAAGTCGTGGAAGCGTACACCATGTAGCCTCCAACAGTGTGAAGAACACCCTGGTTTTGTTTCGAGGCATTTAGAATGGTGTGAGAAAAGAAAAATCACACACTTTCTTACCTTTGGCTTTCCTGTAGAACCACTTGTGTAGAGCATAAACAATGGCTCCTCTGATTCCATCCATTCTACTTCTGCACTTGTGCTACACTCCCTCACCGCGTCCTGTTTGGATTTGAGGGAGAAGTTTTCTTAAAAAACGATGGTGGTTTTTTAGTACCTGCCACCAAATGTCTCGAGCTTGCCAAGCTACATTCTTGCGCGGTACTGCAGTCTCGTTATCATAGACTACGCACGTCTCTGTAGAACAGGACGTTTCGCTTTTGTAATCGAAAGAGAAAGGATCAACGTACCAACGGAGAATCCTGATCTTTGCGAGCACAGCTGCAAAGCTTCGTCCACTATTTCCTTGAGTAGGAGCATCTTGTCTCCTCTTCGAACCGCCGAGCAAGTTAGCACTACTTGCGACTGGCAGTCAAGGATTCGGCCTGAAAGCGCCTCGGCGGAGAATCCAGCAAAGACAACCTGAAGAAGGAGAAAGCAAGCATTTTTTTTACGATCTATTTGAAAAGACAAGGACAGAACAAACAAGAAAACCAAAACCTGTGACTTACGGAATGAATAGCACCAATGCGAGCACAGGCGAGCATCGCCACGGGAAGTTCCAAGATCATGGGCATATAAATGCAGACCCGGTCACCTTTCTTTACTCCTCGCGAGCGCAGCAAGTTTGCAACCTGGTAGAAAAAAATAAATCACTCGAGCAAGAGTGAACAAAAACACAAGTGCTTTTCGCGAACCTGACAAACGTATCTAAGCAATTCACTGTAAGTGATGCGGGCATTGAATCTGGGATCGTTTCCCTCCCACAAAACAGCGACCTGGTTTCCTCTTCCAGAGTCAACGTGTCGATCGATGGCGTTGAAGCAAACATTCGTATAGCCTCCTCGGAACCACTGCATTTCATCAGCACTAAGGCCACACAGAAACGAAAAGAGAAAAGAGTCACGCAATACCTCCACAAAGATGGGCCCTTTGCGTTTGTCGAAGTTGTAAGCACAGACGGGACGGTCAGCGTCCCATGGATTCTTCCAAAACAAACACTTTGCTTCTCCCCCCCAAAACCCGTCGGGATCTCCCAGGGATTGGGAGTAAAGTGATTCATACTACACAGATCGATCCACAGGCTTTTCAAGTTGTTCTTTGTGGCTCTCGGCAGCTTACCTGACTTCTTGATGAGACTGGAGCGTCCCGAAACAAATGCGGCGGCACGGAGACAAGATCGCTGCTATCTTCCTGCTTGGATGGAGAGGAAGAGCAGGGAGCTTGTCTCAGACTTCCACCCGACAGACCAACGTCGGGGAGGAATCCCGGCGAGAGCACCTGTAACCTGCGCAAAGCCGCGGCCTGTCTATCTTCCATTGAGACGAATGGAGCACAAAAACGAGGAATAACAAAAAAAAGACCTACCGGGGACTTTAGAAGCAGCTCCTGACTGACACTTGTGGGTCACAATTTGATTACTTCCGCCACGTATATATATAATAGCCAAGTATGTATCTCTAGCTGCTCTAGATAAGTTTCATTACATTATTGGTTTGATTCAGTTCCAATTGCACACACAGCTGAATTTACTCTGGGAGGTCTTCTACAAACGAGTGTGTATCCAGGGATTGGGGCCTTACATATAAATGATGGCTTACATATCTAAATTCCAAAACTGCAAGGTAAATTCCCCTACACTCACACCATCTTTATATTGAAGCTCTAAATACTTATTATGAGATCTGCCTTCAGCATGTTATTTTTACTACATACTCATAATTTGCTATTTATTTAAATTAATTATGTATTATAATTTTTAAATATGTTTATAACTCATAAACTTTCCTAAACACTTTTTAGTTTATTCTTTAAACTAATGGTAAAATTATATATTTTTTATGTAAACACAATCATGCACACTTTTTATAAAATGAATTTTATAACTTATGCTCTAACACTTTAAAGTATAAAAAAGTACAATTGAATTATAATCATTTACGATATGGTTACTATAAAAAATATTTAATTACACAAAAACAGTAGTTGCAAGATTTTTTACAGAGTTCACTAGAAAATATAATACAAAACCATAAAGTTTTTAGAACTCTTACTAAAATTTTATTTTGGCATATATTCAATGTGTCTATGTGTGTATTAAATATAAAATATATATTCAATATATATATATATTAGTATGGTTTATCTTTATGCTTAAAATATTTATTCAACTTCATATAAAATATTTTTTTAAAATAAATGAGATTTAAGAATTTAATTACAAAATAATAATATAATAATATAAGTAATATAACACACACACACACACAGATATATATATATATATATATATATATATATATATATATATATATATATATATATATATACATATATATATATATATATATATATATATATATATATGTGTGTGTGTGTGTGTGTGTGTGTGTGTGTATGTATAGTAGAGAGTAGAGAGAGAGTGAGAGAGAGAGAGAGAGAGAGAGAGAGAGAGAGAGAGAGAGAGAGAGAGAGATAGAGATACATATAGATATATATATACATATATATATATATATATATATATATATATATATATATATATATATATATACATATATATATATATATATATATATATATATATATATATATATATATATATATATATATATATACATATATATATATATATATATATATATATATATATATATATATATATATATATATATATATATATATATATATATATATATATATATATATATATATATATATATATATATATATATATATATATATATATGTATATATATGTATATATATATATATATATATACATATATATATATATATATATATATATATATATATATGTGAGTGCCTAGAATATGGAAAGGGGATACAGAAATGTGCATATCAATTAACCCAAAAACCCTATCTTATATACAGGAGCGAGTGGTCCGGATTGAAACCAATCCGACGGCTACCAAAATCCACTACGCTAATATTAGTATACGGCATCGTAGCTGTACACTTGGCCCTCACATCATCCCCTCCTCTCGGAATAATGGAAGGCCGTCAGGGTTCTCTTGTAGATGGGCCGGGATCTGGAGGAACGTCAGGAGGAGGCATCAGCGGATCTATAGACGGTATTAACTGCTCCTGATCCCTTTGTATGAAGCGTTTTAACCGCTGCACATGCACAATCTCCGGAGGATCGGCCTGCTGAACGTCATGCCGAACCTCATAAACTTGCGGTCCAACTTGCCGCAACACCCGATACGGTCCTTTCCACTGCGCAAGGAGCCCCTTAGATAAACCACGTACCATAAGATGGGGAAAACGGACTAACACCAAATCATCCACTTTGTACTCCGCAGGTGGACGATGATGGGAGTTGTAGCGCCGTTGTTGTCCCACTTGTACGCGGCCTAAGTGTTCGGCAGACTCTGCTCGGACAAGTGGAAGAATGCTTGTCAAATACTGATCCCATGACCTAGCATCAGGAGCTCGTGGCAATCGCGAAGGTAAACCCAGCTCTGTTGGTAATATTGGATCATGACCATATAGAAGTTTATATGGTGAAGCACCAACAGAACTCTGCACCCCTGTGACATAGGCATACCGAAGAGACGGCAAATAACCATCCCAATCCAAATGCTGAAAGTTCACATACTTCGCAATCATCCCTTTGAATGTCCGAACGAGCCATTCCACCAAACCGTCTGATTGTGGATGATAAGCACTCGTAAAAGTGTGGCGTATCCCCAACCGAGATGTCAAAACATGAAATACCTCAGCCATAAATGCAGGACCATTATCCGAAAGAATCCGCTCTGGACAAGAATGCTGGAACACCACTCGATTGAGGAGGAAGTATCCAACAGCAGTTGCAGAGGCGCTAGCAAGAGCACCAACTTCCACCCAACGAGTCAAGTAGTCAGAAGCAATAATAACATACTCATTGCCAGCAGTCGATCGTGGAAAAGGTCCCATAAGATCAAATGCCACCAACTCAAACGGACGGGAAACTGCAATTGACTCCAACCGTCCTTCCGCAGCACAAGGGGGAGTATTACGAGCTTGGCACCAAACGCAGCTACGCACATACCGGATAATATCACGTCGCATCTCCGGCCAATAGAAAGACCTGCGCAGCTTCTCGGTGACACGACGGTGTCCCATATGCCCACCTAGAACAGGAGAATCATGGTAGGCATGGAGAAACCGCGGAATAAACACCGAGGGCACCACCAACCGTAAATGATCATCAGGATCCGTCCCCACAAAATAAAGAAGGCCATCTTCAAGGCGATATTGAGAATGTAAATGCCGGAAAGGCAAGTCATCAGCAAGTGATGCAGGATTCTCAAACCCATCTCGAAGCCTTCGAATCCACGGCTCAATCTTTTGAGCCTCGCGAACCTCATCAAGAGAAGGTAGATCTTGCTCTGCGCCCTGTGGACACTGAACGTCAAGGACAGCAACCGCCGACGGCACAGAATCCTCATCTAGAAAATCCACAGACGCTGGAACAACAGGTTCGTCAGAAACATGAGAAGTGAGTGGAGAAGGAAGAGGCGCTCGAGAAAGGGCATCAGCATCAGCCATAGAACTCCCTGGGCGATGAACAACATCGAAATCATATATCTGAAGCTTCAAAGCCCATTGAGCCGTACGACCAACCAGGTTCTTCCGCTTCAATAATGAAGTAACAGCAGCATGGTCACCTTCAAGTAACGTCCGAGAACCATGTAGATATGCATGAAGTTTCTCGAAACCCCAGACTGCTGCTAAACACTCCTTCTCCGTCGTGGAGTAGTTCATCTCCGCTGGTTGTAATGTACGGCTTATGTATGCAATGGGATGGCGCTGACCAGGCACACTCGATCTCTCTTGCATCAACACACCTCCAAGACCAATGTCAGAAGCATCCACGCGCAAAATAAAAGGTCGAGTGTAGTCAGGATATGCCAAAACCGGAGGAGTCGTCAATAGCTCTTTGAGATCCACGAACGCCCGCTCACAATCCGGAGACCAGATGAAAGATGACGTTGATGACTTCAGCAACGCTCGCAATGGTGTAGTGCGATCGGAAAGATGATCCACAAAACGACCGAGATACTGCACCTTACCCAAAAAGCGCTGCACATCATTCACACATTTCGGAGTAGGGAACTTTAGAACAGCCACAAGTTTGTCAGGATCAACTTGCAAACCCTCACGAGAAATACGGTACCCAAGATAAGTTGTGTTCTTGGACCCAAACACGCACTTTGACCACTTCAGCTTTAAACCAACATCACGTAGCCGATCCAACACTTTACAAACATCACGAACGTGCTCCTCCCACGTCCCCTCCGAGTGGATCAAGACATCATCAATGAAGTCAGCAGTCACTTCCGGCATATCGCAAAGAACCTCGTCCATCATCCGCTGGAAAGTTGTGGGAGCATTGTTCAAACCAAACGGCATCACCAAGAACTCGTACAAACCAAATGGTGTACGAAAAGCAGTCTTAGGAATATCTTCTTCGGCCATCGGTACTTGCCAATACCCAGAAGCAAGATCTAGCTTGGTGAACCAACGACTTCGCCCCAGACGATCTAAGAGATCAGCAGTGTGAGGAAGAGGATACACATCTGGGATCGTCACTTCGTTTAACGGGCGATAGTCGATGCAGAAACGAATACTCCCATCAGGCTTCGTCACAAGATGAGGTTCACATGCCCAAGGACTCCGCGACTTCCGAATAACACCCTTCTCCAGCATTTCCTTGACGTTGGCTCGTAAAATCTTGATCTCCTTAGGTGACCGACGACGAACAGGAACCTTGATTGGACGAGCATCCCCGGTTGGAATCGGATGACGTGTGGCAATCTTGGCCCCAGACGATAGGTCAAATTCAAAGAGATCAGAATACTCCTTCATGAGCCGGTCAACTGCTGCAACACAAAGATCGTCGGAGGGATCGGAAAAGGGAAGAGCAGAACAAGATGGAAACACAGGAAGAAATAGTGGGGAAACAAAAGTAATGGAAGTAGAGGTAGAAGTAGAGGGATGAAGAGGTACGGAAGTGAGAGGAATGGATGAAACATAAGGAAGTATGAGACAAGGGGGAGAAGCCTCAAAGTCACACTTGGCATGATTGTGCTGCAACCAATCCATACCAAGAATGAGGTCAAAAGCTTGACTCGGCACCACCCGCAACGACTGCAACTCAAGCTCGGGATCGCCCACATGCATAACCAAGTTTGCCTCATCCCGTGCAGATGCATGTGTATGACCGTTGCCATAAAGAATGAAAATTGGTTTTGCCGCACGACGCAAGTGTAGACGACAACGTGTGGCAATAGGTCAAGCAATAGAAGATAAACTCGAACCTGTATCAACCAATACGGAGAGAATAATAGGAGACCTCTTGTTATAAAGACGAGCTTGGAAAGTAAACACTGGATGAACTGGTGCCGAGTGAACCCCTTGATGATACTCCCGAAAGAAAGATGAAGGGGTCACTGACTTATTCGCGCAAGGTCCCTCCGTTACTCGCATGACTCCTCGTTTCCCGGATGCATCTCGGTGTCCAAACCTTCCATTGCAGCAGCACCAACGGGACGTTGCTAACGCCAAGGTCTCCACCCAGGAAATGGAGGTCGCCAATCCGGAAAATGCAGACAACACCAATAAGTATGACTAACTTCATCACAAGCCCAGCAACAAACATCACGGCCACGACCACGTCCTCGCCGTTGAACTTGGACTCGAGCAGCAACAGCATCAACCTCCATTGGAACAGGACCATCACCCACAGGAAGTGGAGCTGAAGGACGTGCAGCGAGAAGTGGAAGAGGCGACATCTTATAACGTTGTGCCAAGTGAAGAGCATCGTCAAGGGTGGCAGGAGCAAGTGCATGTACAAGTCCGACAAGATCTTGACGAAGTGTTGGCCACAACATTCCTAGCTTGATCCGCTCCGACACATTTGGCTCCACAAGAAGCAAAAGACTTCGAAAACGAACACCAAATTGCATCATCGACTCAGATGGCCCTTGGTGAAGACGATGCAATTGTTTGAAAGCATCATCATAGTCATCGGCATGTCCGAAGGCGCGTTTGAAAACATCCGAAAGAACACTCCAATCCTCACGAGTGGTTGCTCCCAAACCATTGTACCACTGCAATGCCATCCCTTGGAGACACATGGGAAACTCACGCAAATGTCGAACATCATCCCAAGAATGATATGTGGCAATCACCGTAAAGTGATCAAACCAATGGTACACATCATCCCTAGGATTCCCACGAAAGAACTCCGGCCGAATGCAAGGATTGGCACCAAGAGTAGGACGAGTTGTACCATGTGCTATGAACACCACCATCAACTGAGTTTGGTTGTTCAATTGCAAACACATAGCATCAAGCAATTGTACCAATTGCTACTCCAAAGTTAAAGGAGGAGATTGCTGATCTGCCATAGAGACGAATGAAAAAGAAAGAGCAAAAGAAGAGAAACGACAAAAAGCTAGAAGGAAATGGTAGATCTAGACAATGCAAAAAGCTAGATCTAAACCAAAATCCTAAAAGGAAAGAACAAAAGAAAGGAAATGGAAAAAGCTAGATCTAAACAATGCAAAAGCTAGATCTAAATTGAAATCCCAAATCTAAGCACTCCCTAGGGACAATCAAAGGTGCCCCTCACCTCCACCAATGTGAGTGCATGGAATATGAAAAGGGAATACAGAAATGTGCATATCAATTAGCCTAAAAACCCTAGCTTATATACAAGAGCGAGTGGTCCAGATTGAAACTAATCCAACGGTTACGAAAATCCCACTACGCTAATATTAGTATACGGCATCGTAGCCGTACACTTGGCCCTCACATATATATATAAAATACAATTTGGTAATCATTCTTTAATAAAAAATTATTCTTAAATTCCTATGATGATGAGAAGTAAATGTATTAAAATTTTATACATATTTGAACACTTTTCATAAAGAATATCTATATTTTAAGTGTAAGAGAAAAAATGATCATATGCCAAAATGGAGTTTGGTAAGAGGTTTAATTTACATTTGATTAATGACTTCCATAATAAATTATTTATGTAACCATGTAATATTATATTTCTATATAATTAAATAACATGCTTATATTAAGTAAGATTTCAGTCTAACTCTACTTTACAGTGTTGGAGTATAAGTTATAAAAATTATTTAAAAAAATGTAATTTATAAACATAAAATCAATCTTATGTATATAAACCATTAAATGGTAGAATAAACTTGAATATACTAGGAAGTGTTTAGAAAAGTTCATGAATTATAAACATGGGGATCACAAAATATGTTTGAAATACTAAGTGCAATCAAACCTTCATGGTCACCCACCTCAAGTTGTGGTCATTGTGCACTGTTACCACCTCTGCATCCCTTGATCGATTGCCACCTCTCCCACACAAGGAAAAACTTCTTCACAAATCTAAACTAAGGCGATTCCAACCGTGCCTTCACCAATACAAACTTTCCATTTTGGCGCCACGTTGGCACACGGCAGCGCATGCTGGCGTGTGCCGGGCACGTGCCACATGGACATGACATATTCCCGGCTTTCCATCCGCTAATCTACGGAATCGTCCCGATGATATGAAGGATAAAGGCGGCTCGGGACCGCCACCTCGGTACCGTAGTGGCCACGTCGGACTATAGTTGAGAATCCCCGCCGTGGACCAAATATTTAAGACCTTTGCTTGTTAGTAATTTAGTAGCGCGCCCACACTTCCTCGATTTTTTCTTTCCCATCGCGTCGCGTCGCGCCATGGTCGACGAAGAAGACATGGCGCTCGCATCGCCAAACGGAGGACGAGCAGCAACAGCCAGATTGCCAATCGCCCTGGCGGTTCTTCTGCCCAGCGCCTACCGATTCGCGCAGCGCTTCGCTCCAGTCATCCCCTACGAAGTTCGTTACATGATCCACAACAAAGGGATCACCAATCAAGAGGTTGCTTTTAACGCTTAAAAAAAAAAAATCTCCCCTCTCGCTCGTCCCTGTCCGTCCCTTTCCTCGTAGTAAAGCTTTTGTTTTTTTTCCTTGTAGCTCCGAGAGAATCGATCGATCTTATAGCACTAGCACCCCTGTTTCTTGTGCAGATAAGCACCAGGATCCTGCCAGTGGGAGTGTATTCGCGATCTCTCTTCATCTTCCTCGCGGCTCCGGCCTGTTCCTTGTTCTCGTATCATGGCACTCTCATGCTTGGTGAGAATTTTCTTGTTTCCTGGTTGATTCTTACGCCTTCTTCCCGCCCCCCAGCTTCTCTAGCGGTCTTTGTGGAGTACTCGCTGCTGCTATGGGGAGATTCGATTCTTTGGCTACAGTTGATGCAGGTTTTGCTTCTGTTCCCAGGCAAAAACTTGGCGAGTGTATGTATTAATGCCTGCCCTGTGAATTTTGTGGCAGCTCTTTCGATCAATGGCTGCCGGCATCGAAGTTGTCTTCCCGGCATATCTGTTCTTGCTTGTGCCCGAGAACAAGTTCCAGATTATGGTGCGCTTTGCTCGACGTGAATGAAATTCTTTCTGCCGTCTCTAATGCCGTCTCAGTGAATCCAGACCAGCAGCACGGAAGCAGCGTCGAGTATCGCGCACTTTGGTGCTTCCGAGCTCGGTGAGAAAACCAAATTCGAGAAATCAAAAGACTTAACTGATTGTTCCAGGCCAAGCGTTGATTCACGAGGGGATCTCCATTGACGTGCTTCTCTACATATCCATGTCAATGGTGAGCGAAGTCTCTTAAAAATCAGAACTTTCATAAGTTTTACCATTGACCAGGTTGCTCTCTCCGTGTTGATTTGCCTCGTCCTGCCCAGAGACCCGCAGAGCTCTCAGTGCTCAGACTGCTCAGCAGCGCCCAGGAAATCCAAAAGGCCACCAATTCTCGAGCTACTATCGATCTGTCGCCTCAAGGTTTGATTCGAGCTACTTTCTCGAGAAGAAAAGCTTCCAATTCTCTCTGCTTGCTTGCGATCATCAGGGCCTTGCGACCGTCGTCAGGGAGACCTGGGAAAATCCATTCGTGCAACTTCTGTCAATTTGGTATGTACTGCTACTTGTTTGATCGTCACTATCATCTGAAAACCACCAAAACGTTAGAACTAAAAGATGTCTGATATTCTTTTTTTTCCTTACCAGGTGGGCTTTTGATGTCGCGGGATACGCCATGGCTTCCACATACATGCTCAACCTGTTTGAAGCGATCGACTCTACCTCCATCTACAGCGGTCACGTCATGGCGGCCACTGAGATCACAAACTTCATAGCCGCATTGTGCGCCATTCCACTTTCGGTGCTCGTTGCCAGGGACGCCGGCATTGCCTACTACACCGCTGGTTCCGTGCTGATTGGAGTTCTTCTCCTATCAATGCCGTATACCGCTACTCTTTGGGTCGCGTATCCTGGGTTCATTATCATCGTGGGGATTAACAGGATTCTCGTCTGCATCGTTCACGTCCAGTGCGCGAGATTTCTGGCGAACAAGGAGTACGTTCTTCTCTTCAGCCTCAACACGCTCGCTGGTCGCATTCTCCAATCTGTTTTCCAGTTTGTCATTGTAAGCCAAAAAAACTATTGTGTCTTTGGTTTTTTACTAACCTCGATTCTTTCCTTTCGAAGGTGATGGTTGCGCCAACAATTTTCACGCAATATTATATACTGGGCAGCTCTTTTCTGGCGATGGCTGCCGCTTTCTTCCTATTGTCCCTGTACAAAACGAGGAACCTCAAGGATTCAGCAGACCCGTACTATCAAACACTACCTGGGGAGGACGTTTTAGCTTGACTTTTAGTCTGTGTACAGGAATACTCGCAAGTTTTTGTACATGTAACACAAGAAGAGGCAGCAGTTAGTTGCAAGAATAATCTGTTCTAGCGTAGCGTTTGTAAGACCACAATCAGTATTTTCTATTTGGCCTTATTAAGTGATCAAAAAACGCGCGCAAACGGAGATCTGTGGACTCGTAATATCGAGTAGAGCTACCTGGAAATGACGCTTTTAAGCTTGTTTTTGTCACACACCACTGTACAGCTACCTCGCACAAACTGGAACATAAAGAGCAGGCACTTAGCAAGAAATCTGTCTAGTGTTTGCAAAAGAAAACTGCACCTCTTGAAAGCACGTCTATTTCTGCTACAGGCGCGATGTTCTCTTCCCCTCCGCGGACTTCCACAAGCTTGTTGCTGGACGCGCTCGGAGGACTGGTTGACGTCGCGCGGTTCTCCACTGGCTTGAACGGGGTTGACCGGCTGCTCGGGCTTGATCTCGCTGGTGACGTTGCTGAGGTTCTCAAGCACGCCAGCCTCCAGTTTGGATTATTTTCATGAAGTGGTAGCGATCTCACGAGAAGTGCATTTTCTGCCGCTCTGTCGATTGGAGCACCACCGAAGTCCTGTAACCTCCACCATTAGAATATGAGACATGAAAGCAGAGCGCATGTTTTCCTTACGCCGAGAGAAAACGAAAAGTCCGATGGAGAGATAACGTGGAGGCCGATCTTAGTCCGCAGATCTGCCAGGCTGGTGCTGCTGCTAACGCGGACACTGCAAATCGGTTTTCCAGCGGCCATCTTTGTCGACTCCCATTTGACGTAGACCTCTGTATCACTATTGTCGTTCGAAATCGTTGTGGCGGCATGTAGTGCCTCCGGAGTGCTAGGAAAATCAAGTACTGCTTTCAATGAATCTCTGTCGCGAGGACGGAATGGAGAAAGATGTCCATCCTGGATGTCCGAAGTAGTATCCCAAGATGGTGCGTCACCTCGTCGTGGACTCTTGGCAAGCTCTCTGTGATTGCCACAAAGTAGGAAAATGTTCTCGATTCGAGCCTTTCTGCTGGCAACCCTCTCATGCGAAGTGCAATGATCGATTGTTGACTTGGTACCGACCGGAGAGACGGCAACTGCTTCGATCCTCCCAACACTTACTTCTGCGCTTGAAATTTTACCTTTATCCTCAAACTGCAATTCGAACTTCTTCTCAAGGTTACTTGGACATAACGGTTGCGGCGTGTCTTCTCCTGTATCTCCACTCGAAGTCTCGACAGGTTTCAAAGCCTCTTCATCCGCCTCTTCAGGTATGATTGGTAGCCAACCTGTTTTGAAAAGCCCGATTTCGCTCCACGGAACCTCCACCTCGCTGTGGACTTTATCCAGAGCAAACAAGTTCCGGTTGACTCCATCTTTCGGTGTGTCATACTTGTCCGATTGATCTTCCTGGCCACGCTCATTGTCTGTTGATGCAGGTGTTTCCAATACGACAGAACTATCTCCTGCTCGATCATCCGCAGTGCTGCCGTTCGTGAAATCTCTTGACATGCAAATGCTGTTGGATAAATCCATATCCACTATGTCGTTGGACTCAGCCCATGCCTGACTCGATGCTTGAAGGAACTCTTGAACCTGAGACTCTGCTCGCTCAGCTCTCAAATGCAGCACTGCGATCTCCTGCCTTTGATCTTGGATTACCTTCTCCAGCTCAGCAAGTCGATACTGACCATTTTCAGGACAAATCTTGTGAACTTGAAGTTGCAGTTCAAGTTCCATTTCTCTTCTCAGTTCGTCTGCCTTCTCCTTCATCATACGTTCCATTTCACCTTGCAGTTCCGCAAATCTCTTCACCTTTTCTTCCTCCATCTTCTCGGTCCTTAGCGTCAGTACCTTCAAATCTTCCTCCCGCTGGATGAGTTTCTGAGCAATTTCTAAACGTTCCCTTTCCTTCTGATCATACTCCTGGCGCAACCTCTCAATGCACTCGTCCTTATGACGAAGGCGAGCCAGTAACACAGCTTCCATGCCGTCGGCAAATGTCGCTCTGTCCTTAGGTGGAGAAGAAGGAAGTCGAACGATGCACTTTGCTTTAGCTCCATACTCCAATGTGCAGATTGTCTTGTAGGCATCTCTGCTGTCTGGACTGGCGCACAAAATCATCAAAATCTTTGCCCCATCCTCTTCGAACGAATCCTGGATAAACCGTACTTGAGATCTATTCGGACTTTCATTTTGAGAAGTTACCTGAAGAAGCATTGTGAGTTTACTGTCCCGGTAAGGAATGTAAGGATCTCCGTTGGCAATGCACTCTACCACCCGTCTTAGTGCACCGTTTCCTTGATTTATCTTTCCAGTCTGAAAACTAAAGTTAACAACAGCTTTCAAATCTCCATAGTATTGGTACCTGTATTTTAGCTTCCGACCCAATGGATCCCGCTTGATCAGAATTCTCAGAGCCGGCCATATCCACCAAGATCAGCTTCCCACCCGCTCCAGAAACATTCAGGACAACCTGCTAGGACAAGTTAATCTATCAGAGGTCGCGCTAGTAATCAGATTACCATGCAGTGGCTCCGAGAACTTCGACTGTTACAGTTGGTGCTTTTCACAACTCGACGCTTCTCGACGTTGGCAATTTCGTTCACAAGCTTGGAGGGATCTTCACCAGAAATGAATGTCGCATTTTTCGCTTTTCCTCCTCGCACCTCGAGCCTTGCCTAGAAAAAATAAAGAAAGAAAAGAGTTAGAATGGTGCCTAGGTAGGACGAACTAACTTACCCGGCCTGGAATGGGCTTTAATGACTTTGGCCCCGGACTAGCCACGCAGTTACTGGCGAGAAGATCATACACCTCCTCGTTGTAGATCTCCAGAACATTGGCCGTGACATTCGTGCGATTGCCGTGCGGCACTGGAAGCTTGCTCTTCATGATCTGATGGAGAGCAAGGTATGCCACTCCAGCCTCCTTGGAAGATCCAAACATCGTGTGGCTCTTGCCCGCGCCAGTCGGCCCATACATCATCACCGTGCATCGCCCGCCGGCCCTCACGTCATCGACCCTGGCTTCCACATATTTCGCGTAGAACGCTCTCAAATTCTCCTCCTCGGCCACGGACACTCCATCCAGCACGAAATCCCTGTATCCCTGGTCGCATCGCAGCCGGACTGACTTGCCGCCCGCTAGAACACTCAGCGCCGACGATTGCTCGCCCTTGCCGTCGGGATGGCCGCGAATGCGCCCTACTACCTCTACCGGATGACTCCCCATCGCCTAATCTACTCCCAGAAACGCAAAATCGATCGATCAGGTACCTAGAACAGCGATCGATCGCATTAGCGCGCGCGTGGATCCCAATCTAGTGGCATAGGACTCCTCAAAACCCTCTTTTTCTTTTTTCTTGTTACACTTCAAACATCATATGGCCGTTAGAAAGATCCCGCCCGTCCAGAATATCGACGGCATGTAGCCGTGGAACGTTTCAGTCGCGGATCTCTCTCATCTAACGGTCTGGAAAAACTTTGGTGTGGAATTTATATATATCGCGCAAAAAATGACAGCATTCGAATGTTAGTAGAAACAACAAGCTTAAAACGTAATGGCGAAAGAAGGAAACCAAAGTTATCCGATATAAGAGTACTGCTTGTTAGTTTTTCCGGTCAGCCCAGCATTGTCTCGTCTCGTTCATTCTCGTTTCGAGCTTGAGAGTCACCAGCCTGCGCAAACGCAAAAGTTTTAGATCGAATGAAGATGGGAGACTATAAGCCCACGATCGAAATGCTGGGAAACTAGCAAAAAACGAGAGACTACTCACCACAGCTTGAAGGTAAGCTTCCTGTATTCTTTGATATTGTTCTTGCGCTTCGTGCGAGCGAACCATGGACTGGACGCGCGTCACGGCCTTTTGGAACTGTGCCTCCTTTTGTTTCCTGCCGGCTTTCAAGACGTCGTCGTCGTCCGTGTTTTCAGTTTGCGCGCTCGCTCGGCGGAGGCCACCGCGCTTCCTCCGCCATCTCAGAATGGCTTTGTCCAGTATGCCGACCGTCCAGAGAATCTTTCTGAATTTCCTACGAACTTGGTGTCCGCGAACGTGAGCCTGAAGAGCGGCACAAGCTTTTAGTCACCAAAAGCGACGCTGAATCGACGGTGTTACCTGGATTCTCACTACGCGTTGGCGGAGGAGGAGGAAGTCCCTGCGACCTTTCCAGCCGCGATACTTTTGCTGTATCTTTGTCGCTGCCGAGTGTTCCTTCCGGTTCGCGCCGCCATTTCGCGAAGCCAAAACCTTCATCTCGTTCATCGACATTCCATATTCGTTGTCGATTTCTTCTCCAATCTTCTCCTGGCGCCTCCTGAACGATTCTTGGCGGAAGCTTGCATGGATGAGCGCTGCAGCGCGGGCTGCGTTTCTGACAGCTCGGAGGGAGCCTTGGAGCAGGGACCGATCGGTTCCACCATTTGCAGCTTGGTTGTCCGAGAAATCCTCTACGGCTTTCTCTTCGGCAAGAACAGCAGACAGCGAGTCTATTTCGTCGGTGTTCCTCTCCTTCAGCGTCAATGACGTGAGATGAGTAGTCAGAGACATCTCCGCTAGTAATCCTGCCATTCCTTTGTGACCGCTGCTTGCTGCGAGGTCGGCGGGAGTACGTCCAGATGAATTTTGTGGAGTAGGATCAGTAACCAGTCCTGGAGAGGCACCAGCTGCCAGAAGTGTCGAAACCACTTTCTCCCTACAAGATCCGCGAGCTTTAGAAGATCGGAAAAACAAAAGAGAAAAAGAAAATAAACCTTCCACGAGATGCGGCCCAATGAAGTCCCGTCCAACCGTGGACATCTCGAAAGTTAGCTCCGACACCAGCAGCCAGTATGGGATTGACGGCCCAATCGTATCCTAGTGCAGCTGCCAAGTGAAGCGCACTTTGTCCCTGCGCATCCAAAACCGCAGCACCTTTATCCCGGTCACAAACTTTCACAAGCAGCCATCTCTGAAGTTGCTGCTTCAACAGCGTTTGAAGAACGGTGTCTCTTGTGGAACTTCCCACCTCGCTCTCACTCGGCTCAGGATCTTCCCACAGACCAGAAGTAAGTTCCAAGATCTTCGATAGCTGTACTTTATCTGACTGCTCCTCGGACTTCGTTGCTTCGTCGGAGTTGAGAGAAATTAACCTTGCAAACCGCTGTTCTAAAACCTCGTCTTCAACCTGTAATTGTTCTGGATTACCCGCTACAGGCTTCATCGTCGCGGTACGATATTCGAACTCCCTAATTTCACTGCAAGCGAGCCTATCTCCAAGAGTAATATACAAAGGAACCCTTCCTGGAGAATGCATAGGGGCCTTGCAACGAAGAACACCTTCATGAATGGTCTCTGCAGGAACCTCCACTTCACCAAACATGCAGTGCCATACAGGGCTTGCACCCCTCTTCAAAAAGTTCCCTGCAACGATAACCTGGAAAAAAAAAAGAACAAAAGAAACTTAAGATACTTTTCAACAAAACTGGACCGGGAAAATGTTTCACCTTCGTTTCTTCTGATGCAAACGCCCAATCCGGTGAGAAATCCACGATACTGAACTGCTGATCTTGCGAGACAGACGGGCCAAGACCAACGTCCTGTATTTGTTGAGTAAAGTTTGAAATCTCATCGAACGTGTTATGGTCGTCCAGTGTCCAGTAAGCGTGGTCAGTAGAGCCTGAAAGTAAAGAGCTCTGACTATCCTCTCCAATTTCCCGGCTCATCCATCGGCCAAAGCTATCCAGCTTTTTTAACGAAGTTTTCCCCTCGTCTTCAACCAACACGTCTGGCAGAGCGACTTTGTAGCATTCGGAAGCATCATTCGGAATAGCGGTTTGTGGTTTTTTGGAAATATCTTGTGCGGAATACTGAGCCTGCGTCACAAAAATATGTAGCAATAAAAACAATGCGTCATAAGAAATGCATGGCTTGCAGAATCACCTGACGAAGATCAACTTCCATATTATGAGAATCCGGAGTCGGAATCTATTAAAAAAGCTCAGGAAACGAACTGATAGCATGAGCACAACTTACCACAGGTGGAAAAGGGTGATTAGTAGGTGTAATGGAGTTATACACGTGATTTGAAAAACCGGGAGATAGGAAATGGCTTTGAGAAGTGCTTTCCATTTTTTCAATTGTGTTGGTGCCTCCGAAGTTATCCAGCAACGTACTCCATGTCTGGGCATCTATTGACTTTTGACCAAGATACGCGTCTACAAAACAGGACAGTCAGCTTGATGTAGAGAATAGATTAATTTTACCAGGATTTCGTAGAAGATCGTCATAGTCCACTCCTTCGAGATTTTTCGCCGCAGCAGGCACCGCTGCAACGGGAACACTGGTAGAGGGTGGAGCGACTGGAGAAGATTGAGCGACTTGCTGCAGTAAGGACGATTGCTCCACAACATTGTTTTCATTAAAGTGGCCTTCTTCACCAGAGTCGGTGCCTTCACTTTCGATGGGCGTCACAGGAGCTTCGGGGGATTTGTAGGGGCCTGTCACCTCAACGTCGGAAATGGCTGAATTGGATGCAGGTAGGCTTTGTCCCGTAGCACGAGAATGCGACGCATTCTCTTTTGCTTCTTGCATGGATCGATACACAGATGATCTGCTTCCCTGGAAAGTGCAAAATAAAGAAATGACTTTCGAGATACACATGGAGAGGTAAAAAATAAAACTTTGTACCTCCGTGACTTCCCTGTAGTGTACAAGGACGATGTGTTCATATGCCCTGTAAAACTGTCGTTATAACTATCGGCTATTCTTTTTGTTGACATTACCCTTCAAGCATCCAATAACTCCGACGTTGAAAATTCGGATTGTCCTCTCCATGAGCATAATAACAATGAAGAACATCTACACTACCGGCCTACAATAGGAATATCTTAGAAATTCTTCGAGCAAGCTTCTAGCCATACCTTAAGACGCTCGTGAGCCTCTCGGACAGTTTTACCATCTTTCTTCTTCCGCCAATTATGACCATCCTTGCGGAAGAAGCGCAGTGTCTTACGATCAAAGAGAAACAACGATCCACCTGCTTGTAAAGCATTAAATGTCCAGTCAAAGCTCAAGGCGATCGATTCATACTTGGAGGCTTATTCGGTGGAACGGGGTTGAGCCGGAACTTCTGGTAGTTGCGGAGGATCTCGATCACTTCCAGAGGCCTCAACCATCTGTTCTGTGCTTCGCGTATAATCTGATAGATGTCAATCTCTATAGACATTGTCAAACAACACAAAATTAATCCAAAAAATCGCTTCTCCACAACAGAGCACATACCTGGCTGAGAGGGAAAGAATCTTAAACGGCGATTGTCATACATTGTGAGGATCGCTGCGAGGAGCGCTATCGCGCATTTCTTCGCCCCTAGAAACTCACAATTTCAGCTCGCGGACTGCCGGCACTAGTGGAATTGGAAGCTCCGCTCTGCCCAGATCAACGCGCTGGCGCCGCGCTCTCAGCTGCCAAGCTCACGAGGACCATGTATACCCTAGTCCGGAGCGCCAGAGAGCCCTAGCGAAGAATGGACTAGCAAATAGCTCACTGTAAAAACGCTTTTAGCTAGTTATCGAAGAAGCGTCGTGGAAACAGCCATAGCACCGTAGAATTTTCAGTCAAACGCGGTCTAGTCAAAGACGTACAGAGTCAACGGTCTTCGCTTTCTTCTTCTTCCTCATTTCTTCGATCTCCGCGAGCTCCTTCCACGATCCTTGGCTCGCGTAGATCTTCTCCAGGAGCACATAGGCAGTGGAGTCTGTCGCATCGATCGCTATCAATCTCTGGAACGCGAGCTTCCCAATCGCTGCATTGCCCCACTTCTTGCAGCAGGCCATCAGCGTCATCCATGTCACGAAGCTGGGCTTGAAAGGCATCGTCTCCGCCACGTCCAGAGCTTCCTGGAGCTCGTTGGCTCGTCCCAGAAGATCGATCAAGGCGTGGTAGTGCTCTATCCCGAGAGAGACGCCGTGCCCCGGAAGAACTTCGAAGATCTTCCGGCCTTCGTCGACCAGGCCGGCATGGCTGCAAGCGGCAATGACCAGCACGAAAGTGGCACCGTCTGGCTTGAACCCTCCGTCAAGCATCTCCCGGAAGAGATAAAACACCTGCTTTGTCGATTCCTCTCCTCCCAGGCGACTGAATCCGCCGATGAGCGCTGTCCAAGTTACGGTGTTCTTCGACGGCATGGAGTCGAAGATGTGCTGAGCTTCGACCATGTTGCCGCACTTGGAGTAGAAATCCAAAGCTCCGGTCGCCACAACCAGGTTCTTCTCAGCTCCACACCGGCAGATCTGTGCGTGGATGGACTTCCCAGTTCCCAGAAAAGCTCTGCTACCACAGGCCTTGAAAGCCGCAGCAAACGTCGTCGAATCCTTCTCGTCCGGCATGCTCAAGAACAAGTCTAGAGCCTGCTCGGCATGACCGTTCTCCACGTAGCCGAGCATGAGAGCGTTCCAGGAGATGCACGTCTTGCATGGAATCCTGTCGAAGACCGCCCGAGCCTCGGCCAAGCTCCCACACTTCGCGTAAAAGTCTACCACCGTGTTGAGAAGAAAGACGTCCGAGCCATACCCGAGTTCCACTGCTCGAGAGAACAGCTCCCTGCCTTTGTCCAGCAATTCCCTGACCTGGAGAGTGTTACTGTGTTCTTGTTCTTCATGCTCTATCCTTTCTTCGTGTCCTTCATGCTCCAACTTTCCATCCTCCAACTTTTCATAGAACTTTTCGTTGCGGAGCTTGTCAGCTGCTAGGAGGGAGCAAGCCTTAAGAGCAGCTCCAATCGTTCGAGCGTCTGGAACCGTCCCCGGAATTGAGGACAAGCGATCGTAGAGCTCCAGTGACGAGCGTCCGTCACCTTGCTCGGCATAGCCCAGGATCATAGCGTTCCACGCTACCAAGTTGTGGCATGGAATCCTGTCGAAGACGCGACGAGCTCGCAGCAAATCTCCACAGCTAGCGTACATGTCGATCAGGCTGCCCGCGACGAAGATATCCACGCATCCCTCGATCAAGCGATGAATAGCCGCCCCTCGAGCCAAGCTTCTCAGCTTCTTGCGCGTCTTGCCATGGAGACGATCGAGGCTTCCCTCTTCTTCCCTGGCCAGCCGAGAGCAACACTTGAGAGCCGCCACGAAAGATCGAGCGCTTGGCTCGCAGCCCTCGTCGATGATCCGCTGGAACAACTCCAGGCCAGCCTCGGCCTCCCCATTCTCCGCGCAGCCGAGGATCAGCGACGTCCACGCCACTGCATTGCGGGACTCCATAGCTTCGAAGGCGCTGCGAGCATCGACCAGGCTCCCACATTTCGCGTAGCTGTCCACCAAGCTGCTCGCGATGTAGATGTTGCTGTTCCCGTCGATCGCGATTGCATCCTTGTGTAGCCTTCGTGCTGTTTCCAGATCCCTGAGAATGCCGCAAGCTCTCGAGGCCGCGAGGGCGAACCCAGTGCCATCGAAACTCCTGGATACCAAAACATTCTCCTCGATCTTGCTGCTCTGCCAGATTGATTGTGTGCTCGCTCTGCAGAGAGAAAGATCACAAGAGAGCAGGCGAGAGGCACAGATTCTTACATTCGCTCGCCGCATCCATCGGCGCTCGAGGAGCCCTAGAATTGTCAGCGGAATGCATTTCCTCGTAGAACCCTAATTTCTTGGAAGAAAAGAGAATGTGGCCACAAGGCGGAGTGGCCGCCGCGACGCTTACCCTCGGATTTGGAGCGCTTGGAATCGCCGGCATTGGCATTCTTACGTGAGTGATCGATCATAGGCAGCTCTTTGCGTTGCTCATCCTTTCTTGTGAATCCAGGCTCGCCGTTCACCCGACATGGCTCGTCAGGATCGTGCAAACGAGGCAGCGAAGAGTCTTGTTTCTCGATCAAAGACGAGAAAAGCACGGTCTGCTCTTCTCTTTCCTTCCCTAGCACTCTTACATCGCTTGATTTTGTCCAGAGCTTCTGGTCGCGCTCACTCTGGACGATGGGCCTCACAGAGACATTACACACGAGGTAGTGAACTAGTTTTTCTTGAGTGCCTGGAGAGATTCTTTTTATTTTTCTTTGTGAATGCTTTACATGTTCTTAGCTAAATCGTCCCGAGGGATTTTCGTGTTTCAGCTACTGGACATTCTTGAGGAAAACCACAGCAAAGCGACGTGGTTCCTGATAGGAAGTAATATGGACAAGTGCCCAGAGGTGGTCGAGAGAATTTACAAAGAAGGTGCGTCGCCATAGCTTTGCTTTTCGTCACGTTGGATGATACAGGGCATGAGGTTGGGAACCACACCATGTACGATTGTGCTTCCTGGCGTCTCTCTCCGGTATGCCTCGTTTTTATAGGCGTAAGTTGAAGCATTTGTATTCATGCAGGAGGAGTTTACTGCCCAGCTTCTGGCCACAGAGAGACGGCTCGAACCATTTTTCCGTAAAGGCGAGGACGGGAAACCGTGGAAGTGGTTTCGACCCGTATGTAACTCAAGCTTCTTCGTTCACTGATCAATCATAATTCTCGTGCAGGGGCACGGCTTCTACAATCGAGAAATGATAGATCTTGTCGAGGGGTACGGCTACAAATTGGTACTCGGCTCTCTGTATCCTCTCGACACGTTGTTCAGGAACAAAGGAAAGTTGATTGCAAAGTACCTATTGTGGAGGGTATGTGTCAATTTTCCAGATGGTCCTTAAACCTTTATTGTGGAAAGTTGTAGGTTCATCCCGGTGCTATTATCGTTCTTCACGACAGGGAACAGCAGAAGATACAGACTCCGGAGGTACTACCCTTTTTCCTAGTTTCGATCACAAATTTGGTTTCAGGTGCTAAGGGTACTTCTCCCCGAGCTTAAACGAAAGGGCTATTCGGTCGTGACTATTCCGGAACTACTTAAACTCCAGTGAGAGATCAGCATATTCCATAGGTTCTTACGACGATGGGGTGTGCGGCTTCTAGACCCGGTATGTTTTGCTCCTTCGATGGCTGTACCCAAATCGTCAATTTATGCGATCTATTTGTGTGAGCTCCAAGTTCGAAGCTGATTTCCTTTTTCTCCAGTTAAAGGTTTGCCACATTTGAGTGACGGTTCTCTGGAAAATGGATCGCAAGATACTAAACACCTACGGGTCAAGGTGAGTTGCAAAGCGTGTGCTGTGAATTGATCCAACTCTCTACAATCAGCTGGTTCTTCTCGGCGACTCCGGAGTGGGAAAGAGCTGCATTGTTCTGCGCTTTGTAAGGGGGCAGTTTGATCCGTCATCAAAGGTAAGTAGTGCTTTTAATGTGTTTATTATTTTGATATGGTGCTACAGGTTACTGTTGGTGCTTCTTTTTTGTCGCAAACTATAGCTCTCCAAGACTCGAGCACAGTTAAGTTTGAGATATGGGACACCGCAGGACAAGAGAGATATGCTTCATTAGCACCACTGTACTATAGGGGAGCTTCTGCAGCGGTGGTAGTCTACGACCTGACCAGCAAGGAGTCATTTCAGAAAGCTCAATACTGGGTCAAGGTTCCACCTTTGGTTTTCATTTTGCGTGCTTGTCATTAACTATGGTTGCTCGTTTATTTTCGTGTAGGAGCTACAAAAACATGCGAATGCAGGGATAGTTCTTGCGCTTGTTGGGAACAAGGCCGACCTTGACAACTTGCGCACGGTTTCAACAGATGTATGTTCAAGTTGGCACTTCAAAATTGCTCTCACAACATGCTATCTACAGGAAGCTCGGGCTTACGCAGAGAGCAACTCCATGTTCTTTACGGAGGCGTCGGCAAAAACCGCCGGCAACATTAACGAGGTCTTCGAGGTACGCTGAGGTTTTTTGTTGAATCCCTTTTAATTCTCAGAAACATACAGGAGATTGCAAAGAGGCTGCCTCGGGGCCAGCCCTCACTGACTGTAAAGCAACAGTAAAACGCCCCCAGTCTGTATAACCAAAGAGTTTAGAAGGTCAGCTATGGTTTGTAGATAAAGGTCCGTCAATGGCAGCAGTGGCTTTGTGTCTTGGGCTACCTCGAGTCGCGACCAAGATCAGTATCTGTCCGCGTTCTAGCCCTTTAAGTACAAAGCATCTCAGACTCCGGAACGGCTCAGGGCCGAGGTTCCACTGTGTCTCACAGGATAAAGAAGATGAAATTACTGCAATACCTTCGTCCACAGATACTGCTAGTGTTTCTTGGAATCAACCCAAGTACAGGGTCATTCTCATGGCTTCTCTCGCGTTCGTGATTTGCAACATGGACAAGGTATCTCTCAGTTTCTCGCTGATTAATTTTATCGCTGACTTAACGATATTTACTTGTTTGTTTCAAGGTGAACTTGAGTGTAGCTATCATACCGATGTCGCAGCAGTTTGGATGGCCGGCAACAACTTCTGGACTAGTTCAGTCGTCGCTGTTTCTGGGATACGCTTTCAGCCAGTTGCCTGGTGGATGGCTTTCACGTAAATTTTCTGGAAAGTAAGGCTCTATCTTCTCCGTTTCTTTTTTATTTTCCCTGCTTTCGTTTGGTACTAGATATGTGTTGCGTGGTGGTGTCTTTCTTTGGTCGTTGGCAACTATGGCTGTCCCACTTTCAGCCCGATATCTACCATTAATTCTGGCAAGCCGGGTGATGGTATGTTTTTCTTTCTAGTATAGTTTTTCTTTCTCTGAAAAAGAGTGATGGATTCCGGAATTGACAGGTCGGTGTCGGCGAAGGCGTGTCTCCTTCAGCCGCTACCGATCTCGTAGCAAGGTACAATTACGTAACATTATCAGTAACTGTTTGTTTTTCATGTGTGAATGTAGAACAGTTAGTGCGAACGAGCGTTCCCGAGCGGTCTCTGTTATTTTCGGTGGCCTCAGCGTTGGAAGTATAGCGGGGTGAGCTTGTGTGCCTCTCTAATGCGTAACTTATGGAATCTTGCAAACCAGGCTGCTTTTCGCTCCTGTTTTCATTGAAAACTTTGGATGGCAATCTGTTTTCTACGTCTTTGGTTTGCTTGGCCTTTTCTGGTATGGAACAAGCCTTTGAACTTCTATTGACGTGTGTTTGACCAGGTGCCTTCTGTTCAATCCGGAAGGATGCGATTCAGGTAAACACAAGTATACAGCGTTCTGAGTGATGTAAACACCATTTTTTGCAGAGACAGATCAAGCATCTGCTGACAATGAGACTGGACAACCGTCAAAGGTTAGGAACATTTCGTTCGACGCCGTAATCATCTTTTCTGTTTTGTCACAGGTCCCTTGGAGCGCTTTTTTCAAAAGTCCACCAGTCTGGGCGATGATTTATGCCCATTTCTGTGGAAATTGGGGATATTTTACACTTCTTTCCTGGATGCCAACATTTGTAAGGTGCGTTAAACTGTAGAAAAACCATTGTGTACTGACTTTTTATATCAGTGATGAGCTACACCTGAATCTGACTAATGCAGCGCTGGTAAGAGCTTTTTCTTTTACTATCAAAATGGAAGTCTGGTTAATGAAAGTACAGATATCAATTCTTCCTCCTCTAGCATCTGTTCCAGTAACAAGCTTTGCGGCTGTCTGGGCCGATAGCATGATCACGTCTGGACTAAGCACCACAGTGGTAAGTCTGGCGTTCTCTTTCTTTCCCTCTGACTAGCACTGTTATGTTTCTAGGTGAGAAAAATCTGCCAAAGCATCGCTTTTCTCTCTCCATCGGCTTCCATGAGTATTGTCTCATTGGTTCCTAGTCTACCACCGTGGTCGGTCATACTGCTTCTAACCAGTGGTATTGGATTGTCAAGTTTCGCGCTGTCAGGTATCTGGTAGTCATTTTCCTTGTTTCTGCGACTGCTAACAGTGTTGCCAGGGCTTTACTGTACACACCAAGATATATCACGGAAGTACGCCGGCATTCTTTTGGTATGGAACCAAATCATCTCCTTGCTTTTTTCCTTTCTAAACCAAAGCATTTCTCACAGGGCATAACAAATACTGCTGGTGCAATTCCTGGAGTGGTAGGAGTTGCGGCAACCGGTTATATTTTCGATCAAACCGATTCCTGGACGGTAAGCGAAGCCTTTCAAGCATTTCCCAGATGCTCAAGGAGGCTCAAAGTTTTTCTTTTCCTCCTCAGCTCTCGTTGTTTCTCCCTTCAATCTTCTTCTACGTGACAGGAGCCACCGTGTGGAACGTCTTTGCAAGCAGCCAACCCCAAGATTTCGAGTAAATCATGCGAAGTCTTTTTTGTTCTCGACCATTGTTTGTTGTCATTCTTACATGTTCATAAAATATGGATCATTTGGAAACTAAAGACAAGTGATTCTTTCTATTTCTACAAGATTGTGGGAAAGAAATCCAAGCATCGCGCTTGCATGCGACGGCTGTGAGGTCCTGTTCAACACGGTGGAGTCCTCTCTCGCGGATGCGTATGGCTATCGCATGACATTGCGACAATGTAGCAAGTGACATGTGACAATGATAGTCTGAATTCTAAGTTTGTGAAGCAACCGTGTTCATGAAATAAAAATGTGTGATATATCATCTCACAGTTGCTGGAATTCATAACAATAATTCAAATAGTGTGTGACAAAGTGACCTGGTTTTGAAATTGTATGTGAAGAATAAAAAACTTATAGAAGAAGTTGCTGGGCTTTGGCTAAAGATCATAGCTGAGATTGATTTGATGAAAAGGGCCGAGGGGAAATGGTCGCATACACGTGTACGTGAGTCGGGGATAGAGCTCCGTTGGTAGAGCATTCGCTTAGCATGCGAAAGGTCTGGGGATCAAAACCCCATGTCTCCAACAAACGCAAAGTGGAAAACTTTCTTTTTCCCTCATTTTATCAAGAACAAAAAGCTGTACTAAGATCATAGCTTTGGATCTTCTTGCTCCGGCACTGTGGTAGTCTTTCCTCGTGTTCGTGGAGGATTCTTCGCTGCTTCTCCTTTCAAGTAGCGATCGCTTAGATTGCGCTTGTATTTGATGTCGTCAAACAGCTGCTCGATCCTCTCCTTGTTCGCGTTGGTCACTTCCTACAAATTCCTCTCGGATTCAATCAAAACTGGACAAGACAGAGGGAATGCGGCAAGGAATGGAGCTAGACTTTGCGAGAAATCGATCGAAACTAGATCTAAAATCTCTCACCTCTGTCATGTTGAAGGGTGCGTGGCGGAGCTCTTCTTTGAGCTTGGCCTGGTTGCGCTTGGCGCCCCACATGAATCCTTCCGCGACCGCCCACGGCACCACAATGCACGCTCCCATCAGTCCGACCAAGAACGCCTTGGAATCCCTGCTTCTCGTCACTATATTCCGCCATAGGATCTGCCCTGGATGGAGATCTCTCTCTATCATCGCCCGAAGAGCCCTAAAACCCCCAAAAAACCCTAATCCACTTGGCCTAAATTCCTCTTGCCACGTGGCACTAGCTAGACCACCACATTTGCCACGTCATGGATTTGAGGTCTGGGAGAGCTATGGCGGCCACGCTCCTCGATCATCCTCCCACTCCTGTGGTCCAAAAATCCCACCATCCAGCATCGCGATCGATCATCCAGGTTAGTGCGCATCGATCGATCATCCGGCCTCTCCAGAAATCCCGCCTCGTAGCAATCCGGCGATGGGCGGTGGACAACGATGTGGTAGCAAGCGAGCAGGACGATGGCGAGATTGATTTGGCGCTCCCGCTGGAGAATGTGGATCGCAGGAGAGGTAAGCATCGATAATCTTCTTCCTCCAGTTCCAAGCACGATTCCAATCAATCTCCAGAGGAGAAATTCGCCGTCCGCGATCTGGGCAAGCACCAATGCCGCTCCTGCGGCTACGTCTACGATCAAACCGTGGGCGATCCGTCCTACCCCATCGCGCCGGGAGTGGAATTCGCGCAGCTGCCCGAGGATTGGAGATGCTCCACTTGCGGCGCCGCCAAGTCCTACTTCAATAGCATCAGCGTGGAAGTGGCCGGATTCGCCGAGAACCAGAGCTATGGATTTGGCACCAACACTCTCACATCCGGCCAGAAGAGCTTGCTCATCTATGGATCGCTCGTCTTCTTCTTTATCCTCTTCCTCAGTGGCTACTTTCTCCAATAGGAAGAAGAAATGGGAATAACACAGATATTCCAAGAAGTCGTGTCCTCAACCTCAAAAAACTAGGGCAGGGTTGTGAATGGAGATGGACGCTTACGCGGCACTCGATCCCAAGGCGCTGGAGGATTGGCCGCATTTCCAGTGCGCGATGTGCTTGTAAGATCGATTCGATTGCGCGGTGGGGGATTTCTTCTCATGCTTTCTTTCTTGCAGGGAGCTTTGTTTCAAACCTATCGTCCAAGGTCGGTTTGTTCTCTCCATGGATTCTCTTTGTGATCTCTTGTTGCCATTGCAGCGTGCGGCCATTTCTTTTGCTTCTGGTGCGTCGACTACGCGATGAATGGATCCGGCCCTTCGCGCTGCCCGATGTGTAGATGCGAGTACACGCAGTTCCCGAGGATTTGCGGGCTCCTCCATCGCTTGCTGGGAGCTGCATTTCGCGAGGCATACGAGGAGCGAAGGAAAGAGATACTAGGTGAGTGGCAATCCATTCTAGCTTTACGCTTTCGCTTTCTTTTATTTCTCTTATCAATGCTCTCATTTGAAGCTCTTTTTTTGTTCTTGAAGAGATGGAGAGCGAGATGGAATACTTTTCTCCTGAAGAAGTGATGGAAAAAAGCATTGATGGAGCTATAGAGGCATCCGACCTGCCTTGCGAGCTCTGCAAGGAGCTGATATACCGTCCAGTCGTCTTAAATTGCGGACACGGTGAGATCAATCCTTGTCATTGTTTATTTTTGCTTCTAACTTGTTCGTTTTCTCGGCACAGCGTTTTGTCAAAGCTGTCTGAGGGCCCCAGTCGAAGGTGAAAGTCCCAAGTGCCCGTCTTGCGGTATGCCACAAAGGATTTTTCCAGTGCAAGTTTGCCTGGAGCTAAACGAGTACATACAGAAGACGTTTCCCGCGGAGTATAAACAAAGAGAAGACAAGCTTAAGGAAGTTGAGACGACGGAAGCCTCGACCCGCGCTTCGAGCTCAACATGCTCACGCTCATGTTCGTTTCTTTTTCGTTGATATGCCGCTATCGCTAACATTGACATTGCCGCAGCATCATCAAAGGATGGTAGCAACAAACAAGCTTGCCATGTCCACCGGGGTGCAGGTTGTGATGGCTGTGGGGTAAGCTTCTTAGATTTTACATCGGAAGTTGGCATGGACTGACAGTCGCTCGCAGGTCTTGCCAATTATCGGTTCAAGATACAAATGTATAGACTGTCCAGAGAAAGTTGGCTACGATTTGTGTGGAGACTGTTATCCCACCTCAGCTGCTCCGGTTGGACGATTCAATCAGCGCCACACTGCAGAGCATCGGATGGAAGAAGTCCGAGATTGTTTCACAACATCTGAAATGTGAGTTTTTATAGCTGCTTGCAATTTTTTTTCTGTTTTTTCCTTGGTCCCGCTAGCCGTAACTACCGTTTGACAGTTACTCCGCAACGAGCTTGTGAACGGCAAGCTGACAAGGATGCTAAGTGGACTACTAGAAAGGAGGGATGCTCTCATGCCAGCAAAAGGATGACGAGGCTGCTCTTGTATCTGGCATGCGTACTCCCGGCTGTCGTCCAGATAGCGGCCGCCTCGCCATGGGATAGCAGCAAGCTCAAGGCTCAGCCGATTGGCCGAGTGAAAGGCCCCAGCGGCCTCTTATTTCACGATGGATCCATCCTGGTCGGCCAGAACAACACCATCTCCATTTACGTGACGTTCTACGGCAACTTCACAAAGGTGCAGAGAAGAACTATCAGGTCCTTCCTCAGGTCCTTCCAGTCGCAAGAGAAGAAGCTATCGCCGCCGCTGCCAAAGCCACTCAAATCGCCACCGCCATCACCGCCACCTCCTTCTCCACCTCCACCACCGCCTCCGTCACTAAAGAATCCTCCAAAGTCGAATAAATCGCCACCACCGCCGCCGCCGCCACCTTCTCCACCACCTCCCTCTCCACCTCCACCTCCACCTCCACCACCGCCATCTCCACCTCCGCCTTCTCCGCCACCTCCATCACTACCGCTGCCACTGCCACCGAAGAAGTCTCCACCGAAGCCACCAAGGCCATCGCCGTTATCGGAGCATCAGCCAGCATTCAAGTCCGAGAGGCCTCCAGCGGCTCCGACGGTCGCGCGATGGTGGGAGATAACCAAAAGCTACGTCAACCGGAAGGGCGCTACCGTGGGACGACTCGTCAGGCGGGGACGGGAGGTCCGAGACAAGTCCTACTCCATGGGAAAGGAGCTCAACTTGACGCAGATTGAGACGATGATCCTGCGCTTGCTGGGCCACTTCCCGACCGATCCCCAGGGAATCTATCTGCTGCTCCTCGCGGACGACGTCAAAGTGAAAGGCCTGTGCAAGCAGTTTTGCGGACAGCACTCGTTCGTGGTTCCCCAGTCCGCCACCGACCGGAAAGGCCTTGCTTACGCTTGGATCGCCAACACCGAGAAGCGATGCCCAGCAACTTGTAGCTGGCCTTTCGGGAGCTCCAAGCCGAAGCCCTTGCCGCCGCCAAAGAAAGAAGGAAAGAAGCCGCCACCGCCGCCGCAGCAGCAAGTCAAGGGGCTCGTTCCGCCAAACGGGGACGTCGGGATCGATGGCATGATCGTCAACATTGCCGAGATGCTGTCGTCGGTGGCCACGAATCCGTTCCTGAACGGATACTACTCGCTCCAGGGGAAGAATGTGATGAGCGAGGCCGTGGGCTTCTGCAAGGACAGGAAGGCTCTCCCGGACGACTTGCTGCGGAACAAGACCACCGGAGCCAGCTTCAACGTCTTCGGCTATCGCAAGCGGCAGTTCCTGGTGCCAAAGATGTATAATCCTGCGACCAGGAGGTGTGACTCCCAGGCATAGAAGGTGGTGGATGGAGGATGGATGGAGGATGAATAAGCCCCGGCCAGCGATGGAGCGTGACGAATAGAAGTAAGTTTCTGGAGTGTTGTCTGTGTTTTGCGCGAGCTCGGCTGTGAGAATAAGAGATCAAATAAAAAAAATGGCAATACCTTGTACTCCGAGCTCCAAGCTCACTGAGCTCTCGAGCTCCTCGTTTATCAATCTACAGCCTTGAGACCTCTTCGCGAATTCGTGTTGGTCGACGCTCCTCCTCCTTCCGGATCCTTGTCTTTGTCCTTGGAGTGTGGCTTCCTCTCCAAGGGCGCTTTGGACGCCTTCTCCTTCTCCTTCTCCTTCTCCTTCTCGATCGAAGTGGGCGATGGCTTCTTCCCGCCGGAGTCCTTGTCCTTGAGCGCCGCGGCCTTGCTCTTGCCGGGCTTGTGGAACATGTTGCGCATGTCGTATGCGTCCTCGCTATCCGCGTAGTACTTGGCCTCGATGTCGTTGATCTTGTAGCCCAGCGTCTCGGTGTAGAGGTGGAATGCCGCGCGGTTGCTCTTCCGGACGTGGAGCGAGACGTAGTCGGCCCCGAAAACCTCCTGCATCGCGCGCTGCGCGGCGCTCATGAGCTTGGTGGCCAGCCCTAGCTTGCGGTGCGTGCGCAGCACCGCCAGCGACGTGATGTGGCCGTGGCACTCGGAGCTCTCCTCCTCCATCTTGGCCAGGACGTACCCGACGATCTTCTTGTTGTCCTCGGCCACGTAGAGGAGCTGCGGCCACGAGAGAATGTGGTAGAAGTAGTACTTCATCTGGTAATTCTCCGGCAGGCACATGAGATTGCAGCTCTGCATCGCCAGGAGATCGTCCACTGTCGCCTGCCGGATGCACACCATCGCTGCTCCTCCTCCAAGAACCCTAAAGATCCGCAAGAACCCTAAAAAGATCCGGCGCTTAATGCAGCAGGACGAGGACGAAGGCGAGCGGCGGGAGATCGGGAAGCTGGCTGTGTGGAGCGTGAGCTCCGCCAAGCCCGGGAATGGTGTCGATCTGCTGCGCGATGCGAGCCTGGAGACCTACTGGCAGTAGGGGTATTGTGTTCTTGCGCATTTTCCCCGTCTCTGATCGCTGGGGTTCTTAGATCCGATGGCGCGCAGCCGCATTTGGTGAACATCCAGTTCCAGAAGAAGGTGCGCTTGCAGCTGCTGGCGATTTACGTGGATTTCAAGCTGGATGAGAGCTACACGCCCAACAAGATCTCGGTGCGCACTGGAAATTCTTTCTATGACTTGAGGGTATGTTTACTTTTCGTTCTTCGTCTCGACTGTGTCAACAAAATCTCTCTTTTCTCTTCCTCTTCCAAGGAGATCAAAATGGTGGAGCTCGCGGAGCCAGTTGGATGGGTGAAAGTCTCGTTGTGTCCCACAGACTCCAAGTAAGAAATCTTTCTCTCCGCCATTCTTTTCCTTCTAGATTTGAGATTCTGTGTTCTTCAGGGAATACCTGAGAGCTTTTCTAGTCCAATTGGCCGTGCTCTCGAATCATCAAAACGGAAGAGACACTCACATCCGGCAGATCAAAATCTACGGCCCTCGCCAGTAAGCTTGCGTCTTTGCTTTGCTTTTTCTCTTCAACACGAAGAGATCGTGCGCAGGAACGCAGTGATCGGGCATCCATTTTGCTTCAACACCATCGACTTTAGCATGAGATCCAGTGTGCGCTGACGAGAATAATGGTCAAATTTGCTGAACTTCTAGGGTTTAAAGGTTTTTGGATGGCTCAAGAGTGGCTGAGCGATTGGACGTCACGGAACCAGCAGGAGCTGGACGCGATCCACTGCAACGTAAGAATAGCCGAGAACCATGGCAGCGAGTACTCGGTGGCCGTGGAGATTGGGAGTATGCAAATGGTGGTGATGATGCCGGCGGCGCTGGTGATCGGGGTGGAGGTGGCCGACGAGCTCGAGGACCTCTTGGGAGATCTCAACTCGAAGCTCCAGGATTTGGCACCGGCCAAGCTCCACACGGTTCTAGACATGCTGCTGGCCACGATCATGGGTTTGGACGCGAGGAGGAAGAGGCAAAAGGTGGCGGACGACGATGGTGGCGGCGACGAGGACGACGAGGACGACGAGGACAGGGTTGGGATCTTCGAGGACGAGGACTTCGTGGACGAGAACTCGGAGTTCTTCTCCCGGTCCCCGAGCTCTCTATACGGCCTGGCGGTGGCAGCGGCGAGCGCCTGCGAGGCGGACCCGGCGCTCAAGCACTGCAGGGTGGCGGTGGAGATTGGCGTCAAGGTGGCGCTCCGGATCGGTCTTCTCAACGCCAGGATCGCCCACGCCTACGGCCTCGTCACGGAGAAGCCGCTGGAGATCCTCCTCAAGTTTGAGTCGGTGTGGGGTAACGCGCGGCTGGCTCTCAAGAAGAGCTTCTACCCCCGGAGCGTAGAGGTGACGCAGGGCGGCGAGCCCAAGGCGGAGAAGGCCTCGTACGCGCTGTCGACGATGCTCCCCGACCTGGTGAGAGTGTTCTGTGACTTCTACTGCCTGGGCAGCCGAGGCGAGTGGAGCAACTATATCATGAGCTGCCAGCTCCAGGAGGCGGCGGCGCGCGAGAACCCGGTGCTCGGCCTCGTCTCCTTCATGGCGCTGCAGCTGGATATGCTGTGGGAGAGCTGCCCGTTCTGCTACAGGCTCCTCCCGGCCTCGACGTTCAAGGTCCAGCCGTGCAGCAACGATCTGTGCCAGTTTACGTGCCAGGAGACCGGGCTGGGATCCAACGTCCTGGAAGCCGTGCGCGCGAGCCCGGCGGTGGTGGAGCTGGAGGTGGCGTTCATGAAGTTCGCGGCGCTGTCCACGACCCGGGACGTGCTGGAGCCATTCCCGAGCTTCATGCTCAAGGAGAGGGAGCTACGGGAGAGCAACGGCTGGTTTGGATCCATGAACAAGTCCCCCAACTTCGCCAACAAGATGGTCGGGCTGGTGTCCCAGGCGCTCGGGACGGTGCCGCCAGTGGAGCGCCTGGCGCAGTGCTCGAGCGAGGCGGAGGTGGTGGCGCTGCTGGAGGAGGAGTGGCAGCGGTGCGCGGCGGCTGGCAAACCGGAGAGGCTCCCGCTCAAGCTCCTGCGCTTCTGCCTCGCCACGGACCGGCTGAGCTTGCGGCATCTGGGCGAACAGGAGCGGCTGCCCATTGCGTGCTCGGACCAATTTGTGGTGCTCTACGACACGCCCGAGCAGGAGGCGGTTCTAGACTCCTCCACGGCCTCGTTCTTTGCGTTTCACGGCAGCCCGACTTATAACTGGTACTCGATTCTCCGCAACGGCGTGCGATCCATGAGCAACACGCGCTACATGTCGACCGGGGCGGCGTCCGGGATGGGAATCTATGCAGCCACTACACTCGCGATGTCCCGGGGCTACTGCAGCGTCGGCGGGAGTGGGGCTGGGTATGGGAGATTTGGCACTGGGACGTCGTGCGTGGGGGTGATTGAGGTGTTCGCGCCGGTGAGCCTCAGCCATTACTATGTCATCCCAAAGGAGCACGAGAAGAGTGTTGCGCTGAGGTACCTCATCGTCTTCGACGGTGTGGGTGGGTACCATAGCTCCGGCACCATCTCGCGGGACGTTTTCCTGGATGGCAAGATCAATCTCGTGAAGCACCATCGCGAGCTTCGCAATCGATTGTAGACTTTTTCAAACACTAAACTGGCGGGAAACTTTCAAAACTTAGGGCTTATATAGAGTTACCCTAATGGCGGAAAACTTTCAAAAGTTAGGGTTTATGAAGTTGCCCTAGCTAACGTCTATGGTAGCGCTCTCCTCGCTCGATCTCTGGCGCCGCGCGAGCGCCAGCGGCGATGGCGCTAGCGGCGGCGGCGGCCACAGCTATTCGAGATTTCCATCGGATTTTCCCTTCCACAAGCGCATTCCAGGTACTCGATTCGTGGTGGATGGATTCGGGGCGCAGTGTGCTGGGGACTGGTCCAGGGCGTATTTCCTCACGCACTTCCACGGCGATCACTACGCCGGGCTGGCGCCGTCGTGGGACAAGGGGATGATCTTCTGCTCGCAGGTGACCGGGCGCTTGGTGGTGGAGGCGCTGGGTGTTCGCCGGGATTTCGTGGTGGAGCTTGCGATGAACTCTGTGATCTGGATTGACGAGTGCCAAGTGACGCTGGTTGATGCGAATCATTGCCCCGGGGCTGTGCAGTTCTTGGTGGAGGTCCCCGAGCACGGAACTCGGTTTGTTCATACGGGGGATATGAGGTTTACGCCGGTGATGAAGGAGGATGCCTCGCTTTGCAACTTTGTTGGAGCCGATGCCGTGTTCCTGGACACCACGTACTGCAATCCAAAGTTCGTGTTTCCAGCACAGGAAGAGTCAATCAGCTATATCGCAGAGACCATCGAGAGGATGATGCTGGAAGAGGAGAGAAGCCAGCAGCGCACGCTGTTCCTGATATCCACGTACGTGATTGGGAAGGAGAAGATTTTGTTGGCCGTGGCTGAGAGGTGCAAGTGCATGATTTACGTGAACGAGAAGAAGCTCGCGTTGCTCAAGTGCTTGGATTTGGGAGAGCAGGCAATCCTTTGCTTCACGACCGATCAAGCACGGAGCTCCGTGCATGTTGTAGGCTGGAATGTTCTTGGGGAGACTTGGCCGTTCTTCCGTCCCAACTTCAGCAATATGGAGATGTTGTGCCTGGAAAACAAGGTTGATCGTGTGGTTGGTTTCGTTCCAACGGGCTGGACGCACGAGGCAACTTTTCCAGTGAGGAAAAGGGGCTCACTGGAAATTCATCTGGTGCCATGCAGCGAGCATTCTAACTATGAAGAGCTGAGGGAGTACGTGGGATTCGTAAGGCCAAGAGAAGTCTTTCCGACGGTCGGGCTTGATGACAAAGGCATGGACAGCAAGACCGCGGACGCTATGAAGAAACACTTTCGTAATCTCGTGGACGAGACTGGAAGCAAGAGGAAGTTCCTTAAAGGCTTTAACAGGAAAGCGACGAATAAAACACCGGAGGTAGAAAACGAGGATTGCAGCGAGCATCTGACTGCCTTTGGACGTAATGCCAGGAGGAGGAGCAGGGAAGATTTTGAGCAGAACGATGGAAGCAACGATATAAGTAACGAGAATATCGAGACGAAAATGCAGCTAAAGAGCGTCCTACCTGAGTCGGTCTCGGATACACAGATTGAGAAGCTGCTCTTGGAAGCATCGGGAGACCTTAATGCCGCGGTGGCTCTTTTTTGCAAACAGCACGCTTCACCAGAACGGAAGGACACAGGCACAACGATCACTCTGAGATCCTGTAGTTCTCAGAGTGCTAAAGGGCCGAAGCATCCTCCAGCAACACCGCCTCCCGGTAGACCAACGAAAGTTCCAACTATAAACAAGTCTAGAGGATCTAAAAGTAAGACGAAGAACGCATTAATCAGCGGCCAAAGGTCTCTTCTTTCGTTCTTCAAGAAAGAATCCGCGTCGTCCGAAGCAACAGAAAGTAGGAGCTCTGGAACGACAACTGATCAAAAGGTGAAGCAGCTAGTCACCATGTTAGAGGTGTCTGAACCTTCAGCGTTGGCTTTACTAGAAAAGGGAGGCGGGGATATCGCGGCAGCACTAGACTTGCATTTCAATTCCGCCAACATCTCACAGGTACCAGCTATAACATTGAAAGATTGTAACGAGGAGAACTTGCAAGATCCTTCGACAGCAGTGGCGGTGGAAACAATAGATGACATGAGCGAAGGCAGGCTGGATGGAAACGTTTCAAGTGGTCGATTATCACAACCCAAAGAAAGCTCTAGAGCAACATACGTAGCATTACCACTCAACAGCTATGATCCTGTCCACCACGGTATAGTTTTCTATTATCTTATGTCTAAGCTTAGTTGTCTCTCCTTTTTCTTTTCGTGTTAGCTTGCTGGAAAGCCGATGAACTAGC